GTCTATGGCTGCAAACCAATCCCGAGGACGAACGCATTGGAGAATGCGCCTCTGCGTGAGCATTCTGAACGGCAGCCTGTGCAGACAGCGGTTCAAAACGCGCAGATCTAGGATTGGCCGTGACCCACCGCTCTTTTTGGGTACGATGAAGTATGGGCTGTAAAACCCACTCTCCATCTCGGCTGGAGGAACCGGCTCGATTACACCCTTCGCCAGGAGGGCAGCAATCTCCTCTCACAAGACAGGGGCGGACAGGGGGCTGACCCTGGAGAAATACACGCCCGTAAACTTGGGGGGCCGTTTCGCGAACTGAATCGCGTAACCGAGTCTGATTGTGCGTATGAGCCACCGCGAGGGGCTGGCCCGCGCTAACCAGGCAGGCAGAGCCCTCGCTAATGGAGTCATCGCTACAATCGCTGACGTACCAGCGGTGGGGCAGCGCGGAGTGGGTGTGCTGATCCGGGAAGCACGAGGGTCCCGCGGAAGAACTGGAGGAGAGCGATTCGCTCTGGCTCCGCACCCTGACTCCGGAGAGGGGGCTGGAGGGCTGAGGGAAGGGAGACCGTCCCCCCAGCGCTCGTGAGCCACTGGCGAAGCACGTAGAGTCTGCGAGCCGGAAGGCAGCGCGTCCCGGACTGGCAGAACTCGTGCAGTCACATCCGGGGAAGGGAAAAAGTGCTCTTTTACTGATGTTTTGGTGGCACTGAAAAGTATCGTTGTTATCGGGGCCCCGCCCTCCAGCGGGGAAAGAGCAAGTTTCCTCTTCTCCGGATGGCCTGTCTCAGGGACGCTTCTCGGTACGTTTACCGGACTTAACGGCGCCCTGGGCAGGAGGGGCTGCCTGCTTTCGAGGTGAACGCCGCGCCCGCTTGGCCGGAGGCGCAGGCGGGGGCGGGGCAGCACTCGTTGGCGGGCGCCCTCGGCGAGGAACAGCGGAAGTGGATGGCTCGGCGGGCGGAGCGGGCTTACGGCCACGCCGATAGATGACATTGCCCATCGCATCCGACTGCTCTTTCACCGCCTTGAATTCCTGGGTGAATTCACCGACGGTGTCGCCGAACAGGCCAGCCTGGGATATGGGCGAGTCAAGAAAGCGAACTTTGTCAACGTCGCGCATATCGGCCAGGTTTAGCCAGAGGTGGCGTTCCTGAACCACAAGTGTGGACATCGTCCTCCCCAGCGCACACGCGGCGGACTTAGTAGTCCGAAGAGCATAGTCGGTCGCGGTGCGCAGCTCATGTAATAAGCTTGGGTTGGACCCGCCCTCGTGCAGCTCGGCCAGCGCCTGCGCTTGGTAACGCTGGTAGGTGGCCATCGCGTGCAAAGCAGAAGCAGCCTGGCCCGCAGCCTTATAAGCTCTGGCTCCGAGGGAGGCAGACAACCTACAGGCTTTGGACGGGAGGCGGGGCAAACCCCGCCACGTAGAGGCGCCGCGCGGACAAAGATTGACCGCGATAGCGCGCTCCACTGACGGGATCGCCTCATACCCCCTGGCAGCTCCGCCATCAAGGGCGGTGAGGGCGGAGGCACACGCAGCACGGGCAGAGAAAGGTGCCCTCCAAGACTGCGTGAGCCTACTGTGCACTTCCGGGAAGAAGGGGACGAGAGGCTTCGAAGGCTTCGCCTTCTGGTCCTCTACGTAGCACCCATCTAGTCGGTCCGGCCGCGGAGCTGGGGGATAAACCATCTCCAACCCCACGGCTGAAGCAGCCCGGGAAAGCACGGCTAACATGTCCGCTTCAGGATCCGATTTGACAGCGCTCACCTGCCCGGAGGGGGCGAGCGGGTCCGGATCTTCGTCGGACAGTGAAAGCCCACCCTCCGATGCCGCGGAGGACATCTGATCTCCGGTGTCAGCGAGTGTGAGAGCTACCATCTGGTTAGACGGATCACTCTCACCACCCGAAGCTTGGATGGAGTGCCGTGAGGAGCGAGAGGTCCGCGAGCCCGTGGGCGGCAGATTATCTCCCGCTGAAACCCTCAGATCTGCCCGAGCGCCCGCTGCTTTTTTAGAACAGGAGGCAACTGGGGTGGCTCGCTCTCTTGCGAAAGTTAGCCGCGATCTTAGCTGTGCAACGGTCATGGCATCGCAATGACGACATGAACCGCCCGCGAGCACCGCATTAACATGCTGGACCCCCAAACATGCAATGCAGTGATTGTGTCCATCATCCGGAGCCAGGAAACCCCCGCATCCAGAAACGCACAGTCGGAGCGCCATCCTGAAAAGGACGTGCTGCACGACTGTGTTGCTCTTTTAGGAAAGTTGCAACTATACGCACCGCTCTGGAGGACCGGACCCAAAGAACCGCAGGCAAGGGAGTAACCCAGCTCGACCGTCTGCCACCGCGAAGACCCACTCTGGACCGGGAGACACACTCGTTCGCTCTGAAGTGCTGATCAGCAAGAGGAACCCTCATCGACTCACTCAGAAAGGATCTGAAGCGAAAAGGATGGCGTCTGCTGGCTTCAGGTGTGCTTATATGCTGAGATAATTGCAGATGTCGCACACCTGCGCAAGCTTACGCTGCCAATTAATTTCATTCATTGGCCCGTTCAATACTCTCCAGACAAGCGGCTTCTGATCCGAATCCTCCCAATGCGTGGATTTTACAAATCAAATCCACTTATAGTGCTGAAGTTCCCCCCGAAGGGGAACACTGGAGAATAGTTCAACAAGCAGATTGAGATCTGTAAGTTTGTCAATGTCAGACAGAGAGAACATGCGAGTTGTGTCCTAATATGCTGTGTTGCTGGTTGGAAAGGGAGGAGGTGTTGGTAGGCACCTTCAGATAGCTATTTCTGTAATGGGAACTCAACAAGGGTCAGTCTAGATGAACAAGCAGGTATATGCTTGTATATAATGTCAATTAAGGCCTATAGAGAGACGAGAAAACAGACATTCCGATCAGCATTTATAACTGCAAATTTTTAGTCATATTATTGTCACAAAAAAATTTGGTTGGTGTCAATGAAAATAAACACACCACAAACAAAACCGACCCAGGCTCTTTTTTTTTTTTTTTGTGCAGTTTTAATTTTGTGTGAATCCACCAGAGGTTGCTGTGTGCTCTTTTTAAGATCCTCCTTCCCTTCACCCAACCAATAGTGCTTTTAAAAGCACCGATTGACCTGCCCACCCACTTACCTAAACCCAACCAACAGTTTTAAAAAGCAATCCAGAAAACGAAAAGCTCTCGTCTGATGTTTACCACATTTTCACGTTTTACCACATTCTCACCCTGTTATTTACTTGTTTATTTTATTTTTTGGCTTATGTTTTTGTCCTACATGCTTTCTGGAACCATTGTTCACCAAACTCAAACCTTGCTATCGTGGTCAAATCTTTGTGTCTCAGTTCCGCCAATGTACATGGCGAGCTACTGGACAAACGTAACAGTGCGAAAGCCGCCCATATGGAGGTAAGCGGTCAGCTGATAAGTGCAAAAAGGAACAGCGTCTTACTGCCTCGTAGAGTTCATTTTAAAGACGAAATGCAACCATTCTTTTTGTACATCTCATACATATTTTGCGATCTCCAGAAATGTATATAGGGCTACGTTTTCAGATTGACCCTATGTTGCAACAAAACAAGGGATGGTCAGGCATTTATTTGAGAACCACAAGAACACTGCCTGTAATGAAAAAGCACCCTCACAAGACTTTTGGGGGGGAATGATCGCATTCGTTTTTATCAAGAAATTTGTATAACTCAATCTTTCAAAAACTTATCCTTACACAAGTCCATGAGAAGGTGGGGTTTGTTGTACAGATAACCTAAACCAAACAAATAGTAATTTAAAAAGTAAACGCAAGAAATACACTGACAACGTAGATTTACCTTGATTTTACATTACTTTTATCTCTCTTTGGAACTGTGCTTATATATATATATATACACACACACACACACATACATACATATATATATATATATATATATATATATATATATATATACATACACACACACATACATATATATATATATATATATATATACATACATACACACACACACACGCATACATACATACACACATACATACACACACACACACACACATATATATATATATATATATATATATATATATATATATATATATATATATATATATATATATATATATATATATATATATATATATATATATATATATATATATATATATATATATATATATACATATAAAAATTATACGATGTTTAACAGAGAAAGGAAAAATTTTTTTTTCCTGATAATATTTTTTCTTCTGGAGAAAGTCTTTGTTTTATTTTGACTAGAATAAAAGCAATTTAAAAATTTTCAAACACAATTTTAAAGACAAAATTATTAGCCCTTTTAAGCTATTTATTTTTACTCAATAATCGACAGAACAAACCACTGTTATACAATAACTTGCCTAATTACCCTTACCTGCCTAGGTAACCTAATTAACCTAGTTAAGCCTTTAAATGTCACTTTAAGCTGTATAGAAGTGTCTTGAAAAATATCAAGTAAAATATTATTTACTGTCATCATGGCAAAGATAAAATAAATCAGTTATTAGAGATGAGTTATTAAAACTATTATGTTTAGAAATGTGTTGAAAAAAATTTGCTCTCCGTTAAACAGAAACTAGGGAAAAAATAAACAAGCGGTCTAAAAATTCAGGGGGGCTAACAATTCTGGCTTCAACTGTATATATATATATATATATATAAACTCCTATGTGTTTAATAGATGTAGTTTAAATTGCTTTTGGCTACCAAAAGTGGCTACCATTAAAAGGATAGATTGTCTAAAAATAGAATTACTCCCACTCCTCAAATATGTAGGCAACTTTTTTTTCCTTCAGTTAAAGTTTTTAAAAACATTAATACGGATGTTTATATTAAACTATGTGCCTGAGGGTCACTGAAGTACCAGCACAATTCATTTTGGTGTGAATTATCCTTCAAATCAAATTAAAATGCAATTTTCCAATGAATGATTCTGATAACTTGACAAGCATATACAGTACTGATGTATTTTGTGAACCATTAAAAAAAATAAATGTTTAAGTAAGGTCAGAGATAATGTCAGAGTTTTAAATAAGTTTAGAATAATCCACATTTCATTTCAGTCATGAGGAGAGACAGCACAACCATATCAGTGTTCACACACACATCACAAACACGCTTGCAGTGGTTCATACGCACACATAACCCATCATTCACATATGAAAGTAAACTAAGTATTGTACACGAATATAGCAATACAGCATATGACAAACACTGAAAAATAAGTACATATTTCTTTTATAAAATGACTAGTAACCAGTTTGGCTGTCATATAATGTGAAAACTGATCAGTCTGTCAATATCTCATTGAGTTCATTTTTTCCCTCCTCTTCTGCCTTTATTTTTTCCAGTAGATTTAATTCTGGATGAATCCTGATCCTTATTATTGGCAATAAAATGCAGAAATAATAGCACCACAGTGAAAACAGAAGAGCCCAAGCAATATCTCAAAGCTACTACAATATTTTCAAATAATAGTAATATTAAAGGAAAAGTTCACTAAGCCAAAACAAAAAAGAAGGAAAAAAGGTTTTGACCATAGTGTCGAACCAAATCCCAAAATACTTACACACTATGTAGTCCTAACATACATTACTCATCTAGTAATGATAGCAGAGATTTCAAATGAGGCCGAGGTCCTGCTGGGTTATGTGTGTGTCATTTTTGGTGCTTTCAAACATCAGCATAATTTTGCAAAATTAGATAGTTCCACTCCACAAGAGGGCACATAAATAGCTGGCAATTGAGTTCATTTACTAATGCCTCTCTAATGTTCTATGAAGCAGCCGTTCATTAGTAGGGGTATTTGGATATGGAGATGTAGATAATAAAGATACTCTGGTAGGTAACGCGGCCCTGCTCTGACAGAGTTGTGGCTTGTACCCGAAGTCGCACCAGGCCTGGCCAGTCTAAAGGCTTCACTGTGAAAATGATGCCTCTTCCTGCTTCATCCTTGATGCCAAATGGCCTCTCTCCGTCATCTCCTCCTTGCTCCAGGATGGTGAAGGACGTGTGGTCTTGGAGGACTCCTGATTCGGAGAAAGCAGATAAACGGGCCACATTGTGGTGGGCTGGGATGCCCAGAGGAAGAGTAAGGAGCTTGTACTGGAGCAGAGGAAAAGAGCCCACAGAGCCACAGTCCAGCCTGGAAGAGCAAGGTCTGAAGCAGGTGCTGGAGTTAAAGTAAGCAAATGGATGTGTGTTAATTACATACAAAACCAGTCATATGTTTTTTTTTTTTTTTTGAGGGGGGAAGGGGGAACATCAACTGCATCAACTGAAACCTATTTCATCTGTTGTTTATACATCATCTCAATTTGATTATCTGGAGCCTAAGGGTTCAAAAATGTCTAAACTCTGAGAAAATCCCCTTTTAAGTTGTGAAATTAAAGTTCTTAGCTATGCATTTTACTAACTTGATATATTTACAGTTGGATTTTGCAAAGTATCTTCATGGAACATGATCTTTACTTAATATTCACATGGTTTTCACATTTATATTTTTAATTCAGAACAAAATGCCCCCAGTTGTTTGCAAAACAGATCATAAGGATGTTTTATACATACACAACTAGAAAGTGTAAATCCAGAGAAATCGAAATTGTCCAAGTGGTCTCTTTTCCATAGCTCTATATAATATATTTTTATTTAGTAAAAAATAGCTTTTTGTAAGATGGAATTTAACTTATTTGTATAAAGTGTCTATGTTTTAGTGTAATTAAACGTTTAAGTCCTGAGTATTAAATAAAGATTAGGAATATAATCAAGGTTTGCTTTAGGGTTAATGGTAAATAATTATAAACAATAGCTCTTACTTCAGGAAGTACAGTATATTTAACAGGAAGTACAGTATATTTAACATTTTGCCAGAATGCCAATTTATGAATGAAAATTATGACAAAGTGTTGCTTGGCTATACTGTTTTGTTTGTATACACTAATAATAATAATAATAATAATAATAATAATAATAAACAATATTTAACAGCATTTACTGAATCTAGTCATATTGATTAAAGCACTTTAACTTGTAGCACTTTTTTTCAGAAGTTTTAATGTTTTAATTTGGCTTTAATGTACCTGTAGGGATGTCCAGATCTGATCACATGATCGCCAATCAAGCTCAATCATGCGGTTTCAGACTTGATCGGAATCTGATGTTACCTCCCGATCAGGACTTGAATATATATATATATATATGTGTGTGTGTGTGTGTGTGTGTGTGTGTGTGTGTGTGTGTGTGTGTGTGTGTGTTCTCATTATTTTTGAACACATGTATAGTTATGTGGTGGCAGAGTTAGACCTCTTTCTTGACCACACAGGAATAGCAACATGTGTGGCATGACATCACTTTCTTGCAGAGATGCTATTGGTTAAATGCCAGCAAAGTAAAACATGTAAGCAGCTTAAGCGGAAAGCGTGAGTATGTCTGCGCTCTGGAGGTATTATAAAGTTGATGATGACAACATTGCCATAGAAAACTGTGAGATATGTAAACTTTGGATTGCCTGCCGGATGTTTTGAGTTGAAGTGCTATTTGTTTTTGTGTTAGATTTGTTTTATAAACTAAAGTCCAAAAGTGAAGAATTAATGTTATTTATTACTTGATTGTTCAAGCTACCTCACTGAAGTGCTCAGTTTGTTAAAAAAAAGGAACATGCTGGATCTGTTTCTACTTTCTTTTTGTAAGTATTATAGAAGTATCCCATTGGGTTTCGGTATCGGTAGATACTCAAAATCAAATGACTTGGAGCCAGACTTGAGGGCGAAAAAACCTGATTGGGACATCCCTACTTTATTACTCTATTTACAAACAGATCTCACCCTGGATTACGTCCTCTTTGGTAGCTGTTGGGGCAGGGTGTGTCCAGACACTGGTAACCCCCTCGAGTGTTAAAACACATTTGGTTTGGTCCACACTGGACACCCTGTACTGTGCACTCATCGATATCTACAAAAAAAAAAAAAAACAAACAAACAAAAAAACAATGTTGTAAAATAGGACCTTGTAAAAGACATTTATTAATTTCGGTAATAAAACATTAAATTTTGATTTAAAAAAAAGGACCAACCAATTTAAAGGTATAGTTCACCCAAAAATAAAATGTAATCACTATTTACTGACCATCAGTTTATTCTAAACCGTAAATTTCTTTCTTCCGTTGAACACTTAAGAAGATTTGTTGAAGAAAGCCTTGTAAGCCTTTACAACTATAACTACAACTATTTAATCTATAACTATGAAAGTCAATGTTCACATTCCCTCAGCTTTTTGCAAAGCATCTCATTTTGTGTTCAACAGAAGAAAGAAAATGATGACAACCTTTTTGGGTGAACTCTTCAAGTGTCTTTAAGACCTGAAAATTGTCTTAAATCAGTTAGGAAATCTTTTTTTTTTTTTTTTTTTTTTTTTTATTAGAATATGCAAAAATCATACAAATACAAGAAAACGTCAACAAATAACAAATACAAACCAACGAAACAAAAACAAAACAAAAACAACAACAATATAGTCATGTACTGGTATGTGCGTGAGTGTGTGTGTGTGAGTGTGTGTATGCATGTAAAGGTAACTTGGTGGACAGGTCAGAGTACATACATAAGGAACAATAACAGTCAATAAATGAAGCAAGTGTCACAGATATAGATAAAACATATAGAAAGAAACCAGTCAGAGGTAGGGAGTAACAACAATGCTTATTAATGTATGATAGTAAAAATTAGAGTAAAAAGAAAGAAAGGACAACAGTAATAACTGACAACAATAATAATAAATCACAAGTGCTACACAAACTATTACTACAAAAAGTTACTTATATTACAACTACTACTGCTTCTACTACAGCCACAACCACGACTACTACTACTACTACTACAATGTCTACTAATACTGATACTACTACAACGACTACCACTACTGATACTACTATAGCGTTTGCTACAACTAATACAACAACGTCTACTGCTACTACTACTACTACTACTACTACTATTACCACTACTACTACTACTACAATCACTTCTACTACATCTACATCAACAACATCTACTACTGATATTACTACACCAACAACGACTACTACTACTACTGTAACTACCACACCATTACTACTTCTGCTACTACTTACATGAACTACTACTTCAAAAATCTCCGTAACAATTACTCAATAACAATCAATACTATTACACTGTCTACTACTTCAACTACAACTACTACTACTACTACTACTACAACAACTGCAACCTTAATAATGATAATGGTATAAATACTTGTAATAATGATAATGGAAAGATAACAGGGCAAGTCAGAACAGTAATAATAATAATAATAATGATTTCAAAAAATAAAAGTAATACCATTTATGACAAAGGTGTCGAGGAGAGGGGAGAATGGGAAAATCAGGGAGAGGACAAGTAATAATAATAATAAATAATAATAATAATAATAACAAATAATAATAGTAGTAAGTAGTAAGTTTGAAGGGGAGATAGAGGAAAAGAGAAAATAAACTAATGATAATAAACAAAAATTAATAAAATACTTATAATAAAAATAAATAAATAAAATAAAATAAAAAATACAAACAGAAAAGGAAGGGGAGGAGTAGAAGAAAAAAGAAACAATAAGAGAGAAGAAAAATAAAGTTCAGCAAACAAAGCAACAAGAATAAGCCAAAAAAAAAAAAAGAATAATAATAATAAAAACTGAATAAATAAAAAAGAAAACACTATATCAATGCTAATTATGAATTATACAATTCCACATGGAAGAATAATATTAAAGATATGTATGATAGATTATTACTATAATTTGATAACTATAATATACTCATGCTGGTAATAATACTAATAATAATGATAATAATAAAAATAACAACAGCTGTAACAATAAATTGAGGAGGTTGTAGTTGTGTGATGGGCATTGAGGTATATAGTGTTTGTCAGTTGCTTTGTGATGCATTAAAAAAAGTGTAACGTGTGGCATGGATCAGTCCAGTGCAGTGCCCAGACTGCCATGCCTACGTTACACTTTACCCTGTGAATTTAGTACATGTAAGTAGATTTTTTTTCTTTCCTTTTTTTTTACCTCTCTCTTTTTTTCCTCCTCTTCTCTTTCTTTCTTTCTTTCTTTTTTTTTTTTTTCTTTTATTTTTTTTTTTATCTGTTGTTGGTCAGGAGAGGCACTGGTATATAAATAATAATAATAATAATAATAATAATAATAATAATAATAATAATTTATGTATAGTAATAATAATAATAAATGGAAAACAAATATTATATATAATAATAATAAAATGAATAAATAACATTGATAGGGACAGGAAAGGGGAACAAATAGAACAAAAGGGAAAGTAAAAAAGTATATAAAGACCGAATTATGATTCTTTTATTTTATTTGTTTACATTATACTTTTTTTCCAATTGATTTATTTATTTTAAATTAGATTAAATATTAGATTTTTTTTTTTTTTTCCTCATCTCTACCTGACCCCCTCTTTCCCCTCCCCTCTTGTTTATGTACTGATGAAGGTGTTGTTAGGGAATGGCTTCAGGCAAAGAGGATCTTCAATGGAGATGTATTCTGTTAATAAGTTTTTCCAGTATGAGATGTGAATGGTATTTCTTGATTTCCAGTTCATGAGGATAGTTTTCTTTGCAATAGTTAGAGCCACCAGCAGAAACTGACCATTTGTATTATTTATATTGATTGTGGATATGTCACCTAATATGCAGAGGGAGGGACACAGTGGGATGTGACAACCCATTAAGTTGGAGAGTGAGTCAGTAACCTTTACCCAAAATGATTTAATTTAAGTGCAATGCCATAAGGCATGAAGATATGTGTCTGGAGTGTTTTGTGTGCAATGTGAACATATTTCTGACGTGAAACCCATTTTAAATAATTTCTGCCCAGTTAAATGTGATCTGTGAAGTACTTTGTACTGTATAAGTTGTAAGTTAGCATTTTTAGTCATGGAAAATGTGTTTTTGCAAATTTGAGTCCAGAATGCAGCATTGGGATTAATAGATAAGTCTGTTTGCCATTTAGTGGTTGGTAGAACTAATGCAATGTCTGATTTTGATATCATTTTGTATATTTGGGAGAGCAATTTTTTGGAGGGCGATATATTAATAAACTCTGAGATTTGAGGTGGAAGGTCTAGATTGATTGATTGGTTAGGTAATTTTGACTTAATTGATGATTTGATTTGTAAATATTCCAAAAAGCAATTACTCCCAATGCTGTATGTCTGGGCTATATGGGGAAATGGTGCCAGATTATTATTAATAAAGATATGTTGAAGTTGTGTGATTCCTTTGGCTGCCCATGTGTGAAAGTTAAGTGGCTTCTTGTTGGCTAGGAAATCAAGGTTATTCCAAATTGGGGTGTATTTAGATGGTGTGAGTGGGGAATTTGTGACCTGATGGAATTTCCACCAGGCTGTCAGAGTTGCTTCTATTGTCGGCATTTTAAAACAGTGATGTCTCTTGATTGATTGACTGTGAAAGGGTAATTCTGAAATGTTAATGTCTTTGCATATTGATTGTTCAATGTCTTGCCATGTGTATTCTGATGAGTTAGGTTTAATCCAATTGTGTATGTTTTGAAGCTGATTTGCCAAAAAATAGTTGTAAAAATGTGGTGCTTCTAATCCTCCTTGTGATTTTGGTTTCTGTAGGGTTGTCAATTTTATTCTTGGGGTTTTATTTTTCCAGTAGAATTTTGTTATAATTGAGTCTAGGGATTTGAACCAGGTATGTGTGGGTTGTGTTGGAATCATTGAAAATAAATAGTTTATTTTTGGGAGAATGGACATTTTGGTAACTGATATTCTGCCCATGATGGATAGTGGTAAGTTCATCCAGCGTTGCAGATCGTCATCTATTTTTTTAAGTATCGGAGTATAGTTAAGTGCAAACAACTCTGACAGCCTGGCGGAAACATTGATACCCAAATATGTGATGTAGTTGGTGCACAGAGGGATTTGTGATGTTTGGGATGTCACATACACACTGGTGGAATTTAATGGGAGTATAGCAGATTTATTCCAATTGATTGAATATTCCGAAATATTTGAAAAGGTATCAATAAGTTTTATTGTTTCCTGTAATGATGTTTGGGGATTTTGTAAGTATAATAATATGTCATCGGCATAAAGACTTATTTTATGGTGTATGTTTAATGTTTGAATTCCTTTAATATAAATGTTTTGACGGATTGCTGCTGCAAGTGGTTCAATGAATATGGTGAATAAAGAGGGAGAGAGTGGACATCCTTGTCTAGTTCCCCGGTGTAGAGTGAAGCTGCGTGATGTTAGTCCGTTAGTAATGACAGTAGCTGAGGGTGATGTGTAGAGAATTTTGATCCAATTAATAAATGACTCCCCAAAACCAAACCTCTCTAATGTGGAAAACAGGAATTTCCAGTTTACTTTATCGAAAGCCTTTTCAGCGTCGAGGGTGACTATGATAGATTTGTTTTTGTTTATTGATGAGTGGTGAATTAGGTTTATGAGTCTGCGTGTATTGTTTGATGATTGTCTACCTTTAATAAAACCGGTTTGATCTGGATGGATTATGGATGGCATGATTTTTTCTATTCTATGTGAAAGTGCTTTAGCAATTATTTTAGTGTCTACATTAATTAGTGAGATTGGACGATAGCTTGACGGTAATGTTGGGTCTTTATTGGGTTTGAGGAGAAGTGTAATTGTGGCTGTGTTCATGGTATCGGGAAGCTTTGAATTTTGTTTTGATTCGTTAATCAACCGGATGAAAAGTGGTGATAAAATTGACCAAAAGTGTTTGTAGAACTCAGCAGGGAACCCATCAGGTCCTGGTGATTTATTATTAGGCATGAGTTTAAGAGCATTAGAAATTTCTAGGTGTGATAAGGGGGATTCAAGATTATTTATTTGCTGTTCATTTAGTTGAGGTAAGTTGATATTGCTGAGAAATGAGTGAATGTCATCCTGGGATGGTTTTTTTTTCAGGGGAATATAAATTACTGTAAAATTTTTGAAAGATCTGATTTATTTCTTCTGGTGAGTTGGTGGGTTTCCCTGCTGAGTCCTTAATGACTGATATTGTTGTTTTTTCTTTATTGTGTTTGATTTGATTAGCCAGATATTTACCAGATTTGTTACTATGATGGAAGTGTTCTTGTCGTAATCTGTGAATAAGGAATTGAGTGTGTGTATTAATTAATTTATTTAATTGTGATTTATATTTTCTTAGCAAATCTTGTGTTTCTTCTGTTGGATTATTTATGTTAATGTCTTCTAGATCTTTAATTTTCTGTTCCAGTTCAGCTTGATGTTCTTTCTCTTTCTTTTTTTTGTAAACGGAATATGAAATTATTTTTCCTCTTAATACTGCCTTTCCTGTTTCCCACAGAAGAGATGGGGATGTTTCAGGGGAGTCATTTATCTCTAGAAAGCATGCCCACTCTCTTTTAAAATAACTGTCAAAATCCTGATCTTGAAGAAGAGAGGTGTTGAATCGCCATCTAGGAATGGGCTTATGTCTGGTGATTATATTCAGTTTTATTGTTACAGGAGCGTGATCACTAATGATTATTGGGTGGATCTTTGATTCAGAAATATTGGATATAATAGAATTACTAGTGAGAAAATAGTCAATGCGGGAGTATGAATGATGAACAGGTGAATAAAATGAGAATGCTTTAATGTCCGGATGTTGGAGGCGCCAACTATCGCCAAGACCCATGTCACTCATGAACTGTTTTATAGAGTCTGTAGATTTCCAGATGTGTTTTTTGCCGATATTATTAAATCTGTCTGTAGTTGGGTCTAAAACTGTGTTGAAATCACCTGCTATTATGATGGGGCAATTAGAAAGATTTGAAATGGAGGAAAAAAAAATCTGAAAAAAAGATGGGTCATCTGTATTTGGGCCATATAAGTTTCCTATTGTAAGTGAGTAATTGTTAATTGTAATGTTAATTATGACAAAACGTCCCTCTGGGTCTGTAATGGTGGTGTTATGAACATATGATATTTTTTTATTTATTAGGATACACACTCCTCTCTGTTTTGTGTTGTAGTGGGCAGAATATGAATGATATTGTGATGATTTGATTTTGTTTTGATCAAGTTCTGATAAGTGAGTTTCTTGTAAAAGGCATATGTCTGCTTGTAGTTTACTTAAATGATTTAAAACTTTGATCCTCTTTGCCTGGGAGCCGAGTCCACGGACGTTCCAGGATAGAAATTTGATTGATGACATAATTTTAAAGGATTACAAAATAAGTAGGTAAATAATAGCAACTTATATTGATAAACAAGTCTGTTTTTACTGCAAATACATAAATGTTACTGTATGTATTTGAAAAAGTGTGAAATTGTACCTGTGTCTGTGTGTATGACATGACAAAATGTACAAAATACAATAATGACCAAACAAAAATGACTTTAAGGAAATCTTAATTATAGTATTATGCCAAAACTATACACAACTTTGAACAAACTACCGTATTGTATTCCACTGTACAGTAAATTATTTATTACATTTCTTTACTTGGTCTTAAATATACCCTCATAAAACCTGCAGAAATAAAGACTCACCTTTGCATGTCCGTCCATTGGATAATAATTGGTATCCTGGTGGGCAGGTGCACTGGTAGCTTCCTATAGTGTTTCTGCACTCATGTTGACAAGGCTTTCTAAATGCGCATTCATCGATATCTTTGAAAAGCACAAAACAAAAAGTTCAGTTAAATTACAGACCCAAATATGTTGGCTAAAAAGAAAACAAAATAAGTTAAAGCACAGTGTCAGAGGTTTTTCTTTGCTTTCAGACTGATAACATTCCCTAAATATGTAACTATTTTATGTGGGACTTCATAAGACTAACATGACAACTTTGTAATCATGACATGACCTATGCCATGAATATAAAGGAGGATTTATGCATACCTATCACAACTGCCCATAATTAGCTCTATTATGCTAATTTAATTACAAAGGTGATATTGTTTGCGATCCCCAGAGGTATGAATAATTTTGGGATTAACTGTATATTATTCTACAACTATATATAGTAGATTAATTATCAAACTTAAGGAACTACCCAGCTTTATGGGTTTACATTACATTAAACATTAAATTACATATGCACATTTACCTTACTGCTACAAACTAAATTTATTTATTTATTTATAATTTTTAAACAGGAAAAGATTAAAAGATAATCGGGCCTGACTCGGGCATGAATGGTGTTTTTAAGCAGGTTCCTGCTCTGCAGAACATAAAAACAGACATCTCATCCATCAACACAGTACAAACAATCACCAAACATATAAAATAGAAAAAAGCAGGGTACTATCTCAGTGGCGCGATAGTTGACCACCAGATGACGAGCATGGGATTTTTAAAAAAGTCTGTGTTGGTATTGTTTTGAGATGTTGTGGGATCTCATTCCAGGCTTTTGTGAAAACATAAAAGAAAGATCTCTGTCCATAACAGTATTTAAAAGCCAGTACTGGCAAACAGCCATTTGTTACAGATCTGGTGGAACGATCAGTCCTTGAGTTTTGGTACCAAGGCAAAGGGCTGCTGAGGTAGCGCTATTTAAAATTTGACAGTACAGTTTGATACCCGTGTTCATAATGTAGTTTTGAAATTTTAAAGCTTTAGAAAGTGATAGAGCAAAACAGTTATGTGTCCATCCAGAAAGTCTGTTGTGGATCTTATAGGCCCTATTGTAAAGTCTAGCTATTGGCTCCAAGATAACGTTTGTTGTGAGAGACCAAACATTCAAACAGTAAGAAAAGGTAGACAAGATTATGGCATGCAGATAAGTTTCTGAAACAAAAAAAGACAAATTTGTCCTAATTTTGCCATAAACAAATAGCTTTTGTTTCAGCTTTTTATAAACATTTTAAACATGGTTACAATGAGTGAGGTGAGAGTCCAAACTGATTCCCAAATATTGATATGTGGATACAATGGAAAGTTTTTGATTTGAGAAAGTGAGAGGATGGGATATGGATAATTTTCATCTAGGTGAATAAAAGTACATACACTTCGTTTTCTTAACATTAATAGTCAAATGATTGTCTTGCAGCCACTCATGTAAATGCTGAAGATCTGTATTTAATTTATTGTTAATTGTGTCTGTACTTGATCCAGACACAAAGTATAGTGTCGTCTGCGTACAATAAAGAATCTGAATGTTTAATTACCTGAGGGAGGTCATTGATATACATCAGGAAAAGTAAAGGTCCCAAAATACTTCCCTGTGGAACCCCCATAGAACAACCTAATGCCTGGGATGTTATCGTACCAATTTTAACAACCTGAGATCTATTGGATAAATATGATGAAAACATATCCACTGCAAAGGAAGAGAGATTAAAAGAGATCAATTTGTTTAAAAGAATATCATGATTAACTGTATCAAAGGCCTTTCTAAAATCTATGTATACAGCTCCAGTGACATGACCTTTATTTAGTGCCATACGTGTATGTTCAGTAAATAAAAGCAATGCTGACATGGTTGACCGCAATGGTCTAAAGCCATGCTGACTATCACTAAGCATCTTATTGTCTTCAAGATACTCAATTAACTGATTATACAATGCTTTTTCAAGTAACTTAGAAAATGTAGGGAGAATTGAGATTGGCCGGTAATTAGATACACTAGTTGGGTCCTCAGATTTGAATATTGGAATAAACTGAGCTGTTTTCCAGGTGTCAGGGAATTTATGGAGCCTAATACACAAATTAACTAAATGATGGAAAAGTGGTATAAGCTATATAATAAACTGTTGACATGTATTTGGTGGTACTTGGAGCATTGGAGAAGCTAAAAATTTAGAAGACAGCTCTTGTACAGATTAAATAAAATACTCATTGAATGAGTTAGCAACTTTTTCATGATCAGTGAGAAGAGTACCATTTATAGCAATTTGTAAGTTATTGTAATTTTTTAAACTATTTTCACCAGTAATAGAGTTAATGGTTTGCCATAGTACTATTGGACTTTTAGCAGCTTGATTAATTTGATTTTGAAAATAGAGTTGTTTAGCTTTACGCAATTCAGAGTAACATTTATTTCTGTATTGACTAAAAATGTGTCATTAAAATGCATTAAGTGTTAATACTCTGTCAAAAAGACAGAGAAAAAATATAGAAAGAATATATTTATAAAAATATTTTATAAGAATATAAAAGAAGCAAAAATATATATAAACATACAAAATATACATAAAAATGTAATAATCATTTTAATAATTATTGTTATTGGATAGTTGTTGTTTTTTTCTTTAAAATGATTATTTCATTTTTTAAATATTGTATATGTTTATGTTATATGTGTATATGTATTTTATATATGTTTTATATTTTATTGCCCTAAATTTTCCAGTAATCTGTTAGGGTTGTTTACTTCAAGGTCTGGTAACATCAAGACTTTTTAGCAATTAGCAATTTAAAGTGATAGTTCACCCAAAAGTTTTAATTTACTCACTATTTACTCACCCACAAGTAATTCCAAACCTTTATCAATTTCTTTCTTCTGTTGAACAGCAAAGAAGATATTATGAAGAATGACAGAAACCATTAGCTATTGACAAAAGGAAAAACAAATTCTATGGAAATCAATGGCTACCAGTTTCAAAATTTTTCTAAATATCATCTATTGTGTTTGTGACAAGTTCAGGGTGAGTAAATGATGACAGAATTGTCAGTTTTGGGTGAACTATTCCTTTAAGAGCTTAGTTTGATGATAAAAGCTATATAGTGGTTCATGCAATGAAAAGTCAATAATTTTTGAGCAATCAGATTCGATGATTTTGATTTAGCATATGTTTCCAACGCTAATGATTTTGCTAACGTAAAAAGAGGTTTAATTTTTATCATTAAGAGTCATTCATATATCAAGTGGTGCTGTAGGTTATAAAGAGTTAAGAAGTGAACAGAAATGTCTCTCTTTGTTTTTATTTGCAGTGTTTCCTTTATATAAATTACATAGCCCAAAAGGTCTTGAGCTAAAAAAAAATAGTTTTTATATTTTAGGATAAAAACCTAAAAAATGCCCCATGGAATATTGTCTTCATCTTATGTGGCTTGGCCAAATGTTATCATCACCATGATATTCCTAGCAATGCAGAAAATAGAAATAAAATGTAATCCCACACACCTATACAAGTTCCATCCTTGCTAGTATATCCTACGGGGCATTCATGCCGGGGGCGACGTGAGGAACCAAGGTGCTCTGGTAGGACTGAGAGGCGAGTGAGGTAAGGTCTCTCCAAAGCAGATACCAGCTGTGGCCGCAGTCTGGCTTGCACCCGGGTACTGTTGGTGAAGATGTGGCCTCTCTCAAGCCCAGCGCAAGAGCGACCATCCCCCAGAAGGACTGTCCCTGGTGGGCATACGCAGCGGAAACTGCCTGGTACGTTGCGGCACTGAAAAGCACAAGGACTTGGCACCTGTGCACATTCATCAATATCTGCAATGACCAAAAATAAACTGCATTAGATTCACTTGAACCAAACTATACATAGTTTACATACTGTAGTTAAAAAAACACACTCAGTTGGTTTTCTTTTTTCACATTGCACTCTACGATGTCACCAGGGTCTAGACCTCTATAAATGTGTCATGTTTAAAAATAATACTTGAAGTTCTATGAAAAAAAAAAATTACTTAAAATCATGTAAATTAGTTCATTCATGCCACTGACTCACAGCAGAAAAGTGTTGCTCTAGAGCTCTAGAGAGTGTTGGTGCAGCCCAAACGACAACCTCCCGCTCTCCCTTGTGAAGCTAATACAGAAGTTACTGAAACAGCAATTCATCAAAATTCCACTAGTCCTGGCTCCATAATAGAGCAAATTTCTATTGAGCCCATTTGTAAAAAGGTCAACTTTACAGCAAAAAAAAGGTGTTTACAGCCTGGTACAAATAAATATTTTGGTTCATTTAGCTAATATTACCCTTCATGACAACTATGAGGGAGGTGATTTTTTTTTATAGCTCATCGGTTTCCTTTATATTAGGTTATAGTAAGTCTGGGGAGTGGCCACTTGAGTGACAGCTAATTCTCACTGGTTGTCGTCATGTTACCTCAGCTGATTCAGGCTGATTAGCTGCTGAACTCAGCATATACACCGTATTCTTCTTTTGTTTTGTTTTATGTGGCTTTACACATTCAATTGCCTTTGGGAATTATTTCCTACAATTAACAGAGCACTGTGTGCACTTAATTGTGCTCACAAACCATTTAAGTTGCCTCCATTTCCCAGGTAAGTGAAATTATATAATTACAAACCAAATAGGCATGGGCCGATATAAGATTTTGACTGTATTATAAATTTGGATAAAAATATTACGGTTTCATGATATAACGGTATTGTGATAACACCTCTAAAATATATCATTTTTAAATGTCTGGGTAAAATAATAATAATAATAATAATAATAATTTCCCAATCGAAAACAATATATTTTATTTTTAGAAAGATTAACAATGTTTTAGAGCAGCAAACATGTCAGGTTAAATAATGAAAATGAAAAATTGACTTTTGCTGTCTTCATTAGTTTCAAACACAGATTTCTTTATAATTTAAAATAGCATCTTTGGATATCCTTTCTGCTAGAGATACTGTTGTCCTAAAAAATAAAACAAAAATTAAATGAAATAATTAACATATACCTTAGGAACGGTATTTCAGAAAATGTTGGTGGTTTTAAAACCTTGACTTTTCCAAACCGCGGTAAACCTTGAAAAAGGTTATCGTCCCATGCCCAATACCATATCTATAAATATATTTGTTTTATTTAGGATATATTATCTTTCATAATTTTCTTTAGACCTGTAATGCACTCCAGAATCTGACAGATTGATTAGATATAGGTAATAGAACATTCATTTGAAATGTTGTCATACAGTGTTATGCCTGGATTTCATCAACAGCCTTGCATTTACTAACACAAACTATTTGTATCTGGATGTAATTCGCGTATTTGTCATGCAATTCGCACCGGTTGGCCACACCCACTTATTGCTTCATTTGCGCTTTTCAGACACTTATGGGTGACGATTCAAGGATATTCTGTCCATATATTTTACAGTCTATGGTGCAGCCATGCTGCCAGATCTACAAAGTCATTATAAGTGCTGTGTCATTGGACATCTTTGTAATATTTACACAGTTTACACCAACAAATTAGTGTGTTAATTAAGTGGGAAGAAAAAAAATGGGGTAAGAGATTTTGTATCATATAAGCAAAATGTAAGATTTAAACCTATTTTGGTGCATTTTTCATAGAATTACTTTTTTATTTGTTTTCATAGCAATACCTGGCAACAACGCAACATCTACATTTAAAAGGATAGTTCAACAAAATGTAAAATAATTCACTTTAACTCAGGTGTTTCCAAACCTTTATGTGATTCTTTCACTGTTGAACACGAACAAAGCTATTTTGAAGAATGCTGTAACCATTTACCATCATACATGAAAAAAAAATACTATGGAAGTCAATGATTACAGGCTTCCAGCGTTTTTCAAAACATCTTTTGTGTTTAACAGAAGAAAGAATGTTGAACAGGTTTAAAACATTTTAGGTGCACCTTCCCTTTAAACTGCCAGGCAGCAATCAAATATAGTGCATGGACAGTTTTTAACATCATTACAGTGGCATAATTACACATTTGTAAATACAACAGACATAAAAAATATGAAGCCAGATCAGTCTCAAAAATAACACATTTACAAAATAAAATTCATACATCCACCGCACAATTCATAGATTCAAAACACAATTTGTGAATTCACAAGGGCATAAATATTTGCCTAAATGAAACGAATTTGTGTATGCTTGTATTGTGTTTTAAATTTACGTAATGCATCTATTCGTTTATGAATTGTGTTTTAATTTCAGAAAATGAATTTGTGTTTTTTTAAGAACTGCTTTTTTATTTTCAATTGGATTTGTGTATTTATGAATTGTGTTTTGAATTTACAAATTTTATTTTGTAAAAATTTTGTTTTTGAGACTGATCTGGTTGCATATGAAAATACTGGCCAGGATGAATGTCCCGGACAAGCCCCCACTTTATGTTGCAACCCTGTTCTAGGGACAAGTAAAATCCCTTTTATGAACCTTTGGAGTTGGGTCCGTTTATTTTATTTATTTATTTTTTTAAGTAATTTTATGTGTCCAGTGTTCTTTAGGTTATGTCTTTAAACCTGTCCTGGGTCGTAACAAAGTGGATAGTATTACATAAACTTTAGGACATACATTTTATTACAATTAAGACATAAAAATTCATGCTAAAATTCATAAATATCCACTAAACATTCCTGCAGAACACATATTCCTATTTATCAATTATCAGGAAAAACTATGTAGTCATTTTTATTACAAAATTCTCAATGACCCCCTGACCTCACAAATTTTCAAACCATGCCTAAGGTCAAGATTGTTCTATTAATGGTTGTGTGAAAATGCTAGATGAGTCTCACCTAAGCAAGGTCGACCCACGCCTTGGGAGCGGTATCCTCGAGGACAAACACATCCATACCCACCAATCGTGTTTTGGCATATCTGACTGTACCGACACATGTGACTACCGTCTTGGCATTCATCTATGTCTGTGGGAAACAAAAAGGTGTGACTCATTTCATCTGAACTGATTTATCAAAGTAACAGAGCTTTAAGTTATTCCAGTCACTCCTTACCCACACACACTCCATTTTCTGCTGCAGTCATGCCAGCCGGACAGCTGTCAAAACACTGATATCCTCCATCTGTGTTTCGGCACTGCTGGTGTGCTGGACACACATTCCTCAAACACTCATTTATATCTGTTTTTGAACAAGTGCAAATCATGTAAGTAAAATCCAAGCTATGATATTGATTTAGTCATCCAAAACCAATGCATCTCTGCGTATTGCATGCTAATGTAGAACTTTATGTTATCAGTTGAATCCTGTTTTTTAATAATAATAAAAAACAACTAGATGCATAAATTGTCATATTTTTACTTTTTATTTTACACCTGGTGTTTGCGGATATTTGACGAATGAAGCTCACTTTGAATCTGGTTGTGATTTTCATAAAAAAAAAATTCTTTAAAGCCTTTGAGGAAAGTGAAAATCTAAAATTTAATTAAAGTTCAGTTTTATTTGTGTTTAAATTTACACATAAACAATTCTAAAGACTATACGTGAACCAGGACAACAAAACCAGTCTTATGTTGCACATGTATGTTTTTGGTAACAGCAAAAAATTGATTGTATTGGTCAAATTTGTAGATTTTGCTTCCCTGAAGATGTTGTGTACATTTGCTAGTGTAAATATATCAAAACCAAATTTCTGATTAATAATATTCAATACAAATAACCTAATTTGAAAAAAAAATGTAAAGGCCATTGTCTTAATATTTAAAAAAAAAATAGAGTAGTCACTGGAGCTTCAATGTTTTTTTGCTCTCAGATTCTATCATATCTAAGGATGGGTAAGGAAAAACTTTATTTTCTCAGTTACACACTCAGAAATAAAGGTACAGGAGCTGTCTCTGGGACCATACCTTTTCAAAATGTACATATTTGTACCTGAAGGGTCCATAAAGGTACATCAAAGGTACTTTTTGTGTACATTTGGGTACTAATATGCACTTTTGAGGGACCATTGTGGACTCTTTGGGAACAAATATGTATCTTTTAAAAAGGCACAGCCCCAGTGACAGCTCCTGTACCTTTATTTCTGAGAGTGTAGGGAAATTTGTCTTGGGCAAATAAATGGGTATATCTATACCCCCACCCCCAAAAAGTTGCATACCCACCTTCATACATACACATAAATAAATAAAAACAAAGATATTCACAGCCTAAGCCACCACTATTTATTAGCTTAACGCTCACCGGATAAAAGAGTTTTTATATCTGTTTAATCTACAGCAAGGTACTCTAAACCTTTTTCTTGAAGGTAACAACTCATACTCATTACGCAGAACATGTGAAGTCACAGATGATTTGTTTAGCATGTCTTAATGTGTGTAAAGTCAGAATTATTAGGCCCCCTAAATTATTAGCCCCCGTTTATTTTTTCTTAATTTTTGTTTAATGGACAAAAGATTTTTTTAACACATTTCTAATCATAAAAGTTTTAATAACTCATTTTTAATAACTGATTTATTTGATCTTTGCCATGATGACAGTAGATAATATTTGACTAGATATTTTTCAGGACACTTTTATACAGCTTAAATAATTAATAGGCAAATAATTATGACTTCAACTGCATGCTGCAGGGACATCTGTTTTGATACACCCATAATTATCCAAGCATTGTGAATCAAATGGACTACTTTAGTTGGCAGCTGCACAGACAAGTTGCCAAACCAGACATTAAGCTCTTGAAAACAGTCTGATAAAATATGATCATACGTTTTTGATCCACTCCATGAATTCTCAGACGTCGTAGGAAATTCAGTCATTGCTGAAGCTTCTGGCAGAGATTTTCTACATGTATGTTCCATTTCAGTGAATAATCAAAGAAGAGTTTGATGGTTTAATTATTGATAGTCAGGCCTATGATCATCTAGGGTCAAACACCATCTCTTTTAACTTACTGACATTCAAAGCTAGAAGGTTATCATTAGACCAACTCGCAAATCTTCCAATCTCTATACACATATATCTATGATCGGGAGTTTTCCTGGATGTTAGTATGCAATTTTTTTTTTTAATTATGAAAATTATAATTTTACATCACTTTTCTACATTGATGGATCACTGATCGCACGGGCATTCCTGACAAAAAGCTTGTGTTTGTGTGTACAGAAATGTACTATTCACCCTCTCTGTTAAATTTGATCTAATCCGTGTCCTGAAACAACGGTGGCTGGGAATTGCAAAACAACATTGCAAAGTTTGAAACACTTTTACAAAGCTCGAGGCAAATTTACATTTTGAAAAACATTTTTACCTATCATCAAACACAATTACATAGGAAAAACTATTTTACAAAGGACGAAACAAATTTACATTTTAGAAAACAAATTAACAAGACGCAAAACACTTTTACAAATCCCGAAACAAATTTACAATTACAGATTCCCTGCGAAAAGGGAATGTACCAAACCCCGGAAGTGACGTAGAATGTACCACACACCGGTAGTGACACGGGGAAAGTTGTTGTTGCTGGTGAGCGTGGTAAATTCGTGCTGTGGAGTACATGGCGTAAACAAAGTTTATGGTGACCGAACATGGACAGCGTTCGAGGGTTGTTTTGCCCGTTTTGTGGCAAACACATGAGCAGCTTAACATGGTTCTGCTTTGCGTGTGGTCGGTGTTTAGAGTTTATAAAGGACGCGTTCAGTATTTTTACGAGATCCACTCGTACGCTGTAATCGTAAACATGATGTCAAGTCTACACGGTGTAAACCTCTGCTTGAGGACTCTTAACAGTAAACTGAAGGAAGACTGTATTATGGTTTAACTGGTGTCCATGTTAACTGAGGCTCCCTTTCAGATGTGCAAACTATCCACGTTTGCAGATTGGCAGATTTGTCACTTTTTCACAGTAACATGCCCATACCAAATAAAGATTATTATTACTTGGTGTCAGTGTAAACATTGTTGATTTAATATTTGTGTGGCAGAACAGCATAAACCAAAATTAATCTAATGAAATAATTATAATTGACATGTCATCAACGGGATTCGAACCCAAGTCAAAAGGTTCTTCACGAGGATCAACCGATTTATCCAACTAAGCTACTCCGATATACGGGTTGAGATCGGTTTTGGTATCTCATCACTCAACATGTGCCGTGCTTCAATTATTTCCATGTACTTGCATTTACATGTTTCTATGCACTCTCACGCTGATATTTTCTCAGAATAGCTCTAATTTATTTTATCGCAGTTAGTCAAACCATGATTTTTAAAGCTGTAGACTTGTGGAAACCTGTCTACAAAGTCACACACGAGCTGGATATTATTGATATTTTCCAGTGTGTGTTACATTCCGGTTCACTACCGGTGTGTGGTACATTCTACGTCACTTCCGGGGTGTGGTACATTCCCTTTCCGTAGGGAATCTGTAATTGTAAATTTGTTTCGGGATTTGTAAAAGTGTTTTGCGTCTTGTTAATTTGTTTTCTAAAATGTAAATTTGTTTCGTCCTTTGTAAAATTGTTTTTTCCTATGTAATTGTGTCTGATGATAGGTAAAAATGCTTTTCAAAATGTAAATTTGTCTCGAGCTTTGTAAAAGTGTTTCAAACTTTGTAATGTTGTTTTGCACTTCCCGGCCACCGTATGAAACACACCTCCTCTCCTGATTTCACTTCTCATACTGACGGAGGGAGCGATTTGTTTGTGAATAAATCTTCGTTATGAATGACTCCTTCATTAGCCGACAATAATACAAGTTTCTGGCAGCGCAGCGTCTCGTTGTCATATTTCTTTTGCATTGTTTGCTGATTTTATTCAACAAAACTAGCATAAGCCGAGTGTTTAGTGCAAATTGGAGCTACTTTGCCTTATGATGAATGCAGTAAGTGACTGTATTATCATCAATAACGCTACCTGTTTAGCACAAATTTCAGAACATACTAAAACGTAAAAAACTTAATATTACCTATGAAATGTTTTGCCTTTGTGCTTTGTTTTCTTTGTTTGCTCGTTACTACACCCGTAGACAGCGCTAAAGTCCCGCATCTTTACGTAATAACACTGTGTTGACTAGTGCGGTTGAATGACATTTGTCCTGGGAGCACTGTACCAATGTGGTGGCGCTATTGACGCATGCTCAGGGTCCCTATGCGATATCTAGTGTATATATCTATGTCACAAATTGAGGAGTGGGGAAAGGAGGCGGGGTGGAGCGGGGGTGGGAATCCTTCACAAACTGAGGAGCGATCACAAACTGAAAGCGGCGAGAGCGTCAAAGTAGCCAAAAGTCATTCATTTTTTAACGAGAACCGGCGGCGAGAAACAGCGGCGAGTCTTCATTGGCTATGACGTGGTTCTGTGGCAAGCAATCAGAATGAAGTAGTCCACCGCTTGAGAGGAGTTCAGAGAGCACAGACCTGTGAACTTTGGTTCCGACCACAGTTGTTCCCAAGAGTTTGATTATTGCGGTTCCTGGAATTTCAATTATTGAAAATTGCGACGACGTGGGGCCCCCTAATCATGCGGGGCCCCCTCTGCGGTGCGTGCCCTGCGGGCCCATCCGCTACGCCACTGCTAAAATGGCAGCATCATCTGAGATTTTAATAACGTAATTATTAGAATAAGAACGTCTACATGCATCTGTATACAAAGTGAACAAAACCGGTGAGCTAACACAGCCCTGTGGAGCTCTCGTGCTCAGAAATGTTGGCTCAGATAGTGTTCCATCAACACTAACCTGCTGTCTATGATTGGTTAAACAAGAATAATACCAATTTATTAATAATAGATGATGAACGTCATTCAGGTTTGAAATGAACCTATGGTGCGTAAATGATGACTGAAAATTCAGTTTGGGTGGACTATTCAAATGTAATACTATTCTTTTCAGTTACAAATAAAGTATGAGACCTGATGAACCTATGAAATTGAAAGTAATTTTAAAAATGAACCTGACCTAGACAGCGATGCCCCACTAGCTGATATCCTGGATGGCAGGTGCAGCGGAATGAGCCCAGAGTATTGAAACACTGCTGCTGGCATGGGGACACTGCTGATTCTTGACACTCATCCACATCTGAAAGACACGATCTGTCAGTGTACCTTTATCAAATTCCAGATGGTTCTTCAGTTGAAAACAGTTATTTTTGCATTGTCCAGTTTCAGTGAGTTTCATGGAGGAAATCACAATTGTTATATATACATATTTTTTTCTCCATCCATTAAATATCCTTAAGATGAAAATGTAGTTTATTTATTTTTTGACTGATCAGACTAACCTTCACAGCTGGTGCCAACTAAACTGGGTTTAAAGCCCAGTCCACACTTGGCTTGACAGCGATATGTCCCAACGGTGTTCACACACTGCTGGTTGGGGTGACACAAGTGGGAGCCTTGGGAGCACTCGTCAATATCTGAATCACAACAAAAATCATAGTTTCTCAGGTAAAACAGATGCTAGTTTTCATTGCTTTCGTTACATTATTAGATAGCAAATAAAGCAATATTTCTATGCCATGTATTACATAGACAACAAAACACTATTGTCCTACAAAATAAACGGTTTAAGCCTCTTATCACAAAAAATAACAAACGGCTTGACAGAAACTAGCTCAAGCATTTCAGAGGGATTAAAGCAAGTGTGAACTGACCTTTATTCATTAACTGGTTACACCAGTTATTTATTGACATGATCTAATGAACACTAAAGAAGATACTATGGAAATCACTTACAGGTTTTTCAGCGTTCTTCATAATATATTCTTTTGTGGTCCACAAACAAAAGAAACACCCCGTCACCTTAGAATTATAAGGTTCTATTTGAAATTTTTGTCAAAACTGAGTTATTGACATATTCTTATTTAATAACCAGTTATTTACATAATGGGATGTTTTTATAAGTTGTTTAAATTTTAAGACCTTTTCTTTAAAAAAACAAATGTTACACACATACTGTTTCCTATGTAATGCAAAAACTCTGAAGCTCAATATTGTTTGTAGGCTGCGTATAATGCATTCACTGTAAATTATAAAATGCTTATTTTACTACTCTAACAATGTTTTTATCCTAATTGTTACGATCATCAGTGATCTAATGCCTGCGGGTTGCAGGAAAACTACACACAGCTTAACAAACTACAACTCCAACATGCACCTCGCACAGTCGGATTCCTATTTCTGACTGATTACAAACAGTCAGAAGATAGTTATGGACTGATTTCAAGGACTATGAACTCTGCACATACAGACACATTATTGCCGAGTCTTAAACTGTTTAGTGAGCATTACAATGCATTTCCCCTTGCCTTGCAGCATTTGACCCCTTTACTTCATTATTTTGTTTGCCGCCTTTACTTTTGGGAATCGGGATTATTTGTATGCACCTGTTTGTTCCTGTTCCAACCTTTAACTGCAAGATGATTCTTTTAATAAACTACTATTTAATCCTCAACTTTGTTGTCCAGGCGTCCTCACATGACACATGACATATCCTAAAATATTTGTTAAACTATATAATAGTTTATAGATATATTTACAGTGTTTTATGACAAAAACAACAATAAACAACTAAACCTTTTTTAATCATTCTTTCAAATATTTTTTTCGGTTTTAAATGTATGTTAAAAGTGAAAAGATTTATGTAATGTTTAGAGATTTTATGCATAATTACATTAATTAATCTGTATAATCACATCAATTAATTTGTATAAATTACAGTAATAGCCTGTATAATTACAGCAATATTCATTATAATCACATGAATTAATTGGTATGATTACATTAATAACCTGTATAATTACAGAAATAATCTTAAAAATCACATTAATTAAATAATATATATATATTTTTTTTTTTTCAGTAATAATTTTGTAAAATGACAGCAATATTTTGTATAATTGCAGTAATAATTACTAAAATTACAGTAGTTTCCTTTTGATTTTTACTGTTTTTTTACAGTTTAAATACAAAATATCAACAGTAATTAACTGTAATTTAATGAATTTTTAACGTAAAGTATGTTCTGTATTTTTACAGTTTTTGCTTGTAATTTTGTTAAATAGTAACTTTCTATAATTTAACAGAATATCTCTGGAAGCCCTGGAAGTGATGTATCATGATTAGGAGATTTTTTTTTTTTTTTTTTACCTCTTACACCGTTACATGACAGAGTGAATGCAAAATATTTATCATAAACCCCTTCATGTGACTTGTACTCTGCACTCATCACACAGTCAGCAAGAAAATTTTAAGTTTCGAATTTCAACAATGAGCACAGTCATGCAGCAAAACAGGTTCAGCAGATCCTTAAAGATGAAACACTGAGATAATACAATGACCAGGCCACAGTCCTTATCTAAGCTTTAGTAAATCTCTAAAAAAATTCCCGGATAAGAAGTTATGGCTAAGTAAGAGACTTGATATAGCCTCATTTTTTTTTTTAAATAAAACTTCAAATTTTAAAAGATGATTACATTGTTCAGAAAAAAAATTACGTTTTTATAAATTTGTATACAATATTTCCTAAAACACTTACTCACTCAGTTTTCTTTAGCTAAGTTTGTGATTTTTTTTTTTTTCAAGGGTTGCCACAGTGGAATGAACCGCAAATTATTCTGACATATGCCTATCTAGCCACAGCCCAGCACTGACATCACACATGAACTTGTGAACTCTGGTGATGAGAAACACCCATGCAATCACCGATTCACTCACTCTCTCTCTCTCTCACACACACACACACACACACACACACACACACACACACACACACACACACACACAAATAAATTCGCTCCAACATCCAATTCACCTATTGTGCATTTCTTTGCACTCTGGGGGAAACCGGAGCACCGGAAGGAAACCTATGCAAACGCTGGGAAAACATGCAAACTCCACACAGAAATGCCACCTGGCCAAGTCAGGAAATGAATGACAGTGCTAACCACTGAGCCACCATTCCGCCATGCTTCTTAAAAAACAATATTTACAAAAAAAAAATAATAATTCAAATAATGTAGGCCTGACCTTGGCAGCTGTTTGACTCTGTAGAGATGGTGAACCCAGACGGACACGCACAGGAGAAACCACCCATATTATTATTACATGAGTGTGAGCAGGGAGAGTCTACAGCACATTCATCTTCATCTAAGACAGAAAAAATAAACATTCTGATTACACTATATCAGCTTAGTTGTAATATTTTGAAATAAATAAACAAATAAATAAATAAATAAGCTTTTATATCTAGCATGCAGCAGATTATAATTAAAGCGGTTAAACAACATACCGGCACAGTAAGATGCTGTATCCAAGATGAAACCTTTTGGACAGGTCTCCCCATCACCCTCTACATAAAATGTAAATATTGATCAGACATTTTTGAGACAAACAATGGCTAATTAAAAACAACTACAGGCCCATAGCCAGCCCAGTGAAAAGAGTAGTTCTTATTTCTCTAAAAACTGACCTTTTTGCAGTAATTCACCTCGTTTTCTTTTTAATGGAAATACTTTTAGTCACATTTTTAGCTTAGCTTGTCAGATTGTCATCATAACCACATCATTTGTTAGGCAAATAACAAACTGACCAGTACATTCAACTTTGCACAGTCATTTGACCAGACTCACAATTTATTTAGCCTCTCTTGTAGAAAAGTATGTGTGAAAATTCATGGATAGCAACAATAGCCTAATAAGTATTCCAATTCATTTTAATATGGGCCGCTTTTGATGCTTCACACCTTTTTATTGGTCCTTTTTTATTTCAAAAATAAGGTCCAAGATTTAAAAGTTACTTGTAAAATGTTTTCTATATTTAACAACAATACAGTGAAAGATGACCTCACTTATGTCAGATTCTTATGTTTTCTTGCACAGCTGGATGTTGGACTCAAGACAAAGAATTTTTTGAATTGGACAAAACTGAGGTCACACCAAATCAACAGCTGAATGTTAATCCACCATTTACACTTTTCCAAGAGTAGAAGACTTCCATTGTTTTCAAGTCCGCTATGAAAAGTCTGTGGGATGGAATTTTCAGGTAACTGTTTGCCACATCTAGCACAAGAGCTTCAGTTTAATCCTTCATATAATCGCCAGATGCTGTCCGCCGTGCAAGTGACAGCTATGTCAAATTTAACACCACGTACACCATCGCAAACTTGCTTACACTGATTAAACTAACGCTACTAATAAAAAAAACGGTATGGCTATTAACATGTATGCATATAATAAGGTACAGTATGTGTCAAAAGCATCAGTGCAATATCAGACAGCACTTGTGAGAACAGCACAGTTATACCGTTAACAGATTCATTCAAGCAGTGCGTGCAGGGCCGGTGAGCGCTCCACGTATGCTTTGGTTAGTCAGTTCTGTATTAAAAATGTATTTTCTTGTGATAACGGGATTTCGTTGAAACATATTTTCCTTACGCTTGCATATATTTATTAATTTTTATTTTTTTTGTTTGATAAGTGTTGATTTCAAATACAATAAATATGTTTGTATGAAACTTGTAGCAACGGTGCTCATAATTAGTGGGTGCGACTAAATTTTGGCTGATGCGCCTACATTTTTTAAGTTAAGAGCCCCGGTGCTACCAAGCAAAAATGTTAATTTCGAGCCCTGTGATTTACTAAACATTTTAAAGCTAAGTGATTGCAAACGATTTATATTCTGAACTTAAACAAACTAATTAAATTTACTAATGTTCAACTTAATTTGTTTGTTTAAATTTAGCCCAAATAAATTGTTTGCAATCACTAACCCTAAAAATATTTACTAAATCCAATGAATCCTTTGTTTCTGTCACCGACTTGGTCCCAGTCATTCCCCTCTCTGGCCAGCAGATGTCCTCATCACGGGACTTCTAGACATTACGTCATCCACTTAAACGGACAAGCACACACACCTGTTCCTCATCCCGATAACGACCCACACTCACCTATTTCAGTCACACTCTCACTACAGTTCAGTGCGAAGTCTTGTTTTGCACCCGGCTAACATTACTGAGCGTTTCCTGATCCTTGCCCGCTTTCCCGTTGACAACTTTGGACTGTATCTTGACTCTGTCTTGCCTGCCCTGAACACTAGCCTGCATCCTGACTTTGATCCGCCAGCCCTTCGACTAACTACAACTGTGTTTTATGCGAGTTCGCACACGATTAACATACCTCCTCAGTTAAAGAGCCTGACCTGGTATGAGTAAGGAAGCTGTCATCTTGAAGTCTAGGCTGAGAGTGTAAAGGCTGTAGGTGCCACTTATTCCTGTCAGTCTGAGAAGCTGAAGCAGGGGCCCCTGGCGGCTCTCTGGACCCTCAAAAACCATAGTATGATTGCAGCGCAGGGTAAGAGGAGCCCCGTCCCGAATGTGATTCTGTGTGGACCAGGAATAAAGCTGCCCAGAGCCTGTCTGCACATACGACTCGTCAAACTCCTAATGAAAAGATGTAGAAAAAAAAAAAGGTCAAGAGTCTTTTTCGGAGGAACTGCTCCTTAAGAAGTGTTTCTAGTATTACTTGGAGTCTCTTTTCTGAGTCTCTTTTTGGTAACACTTTATTTTGGTGGTCCATTTGAGTGTTAGTAGACTGTCTGCTTAATATCTGTTGATACTGCTCCTTCAACAGTCATTTAACTCGCTATAAGTAAGCTTGCAAGTACGTCAATTTACACTAACCCAAACCCCAACAGTCTACTCACAATCCAGTGAGAATTAATTAGCATGTAAATGCAATGCAATTTAATTCAACAAACGGACTATCAAAATAAAGTGTGACCCTCTTTTTTTCTGTTGAACACAAAAGAAGATACTTTGAAGAAAGCTAAAAATCTGTAACCATTGACTTCCATAGTAGAAAACACAAATACTATGGAAAGCAGTGGTTACATGTGTTCACCTTTGTCAAAACTCAAAACAGAAGAAAGAAACTCAAACAGATTTGTGACAAGTGAAGGGTGTGTAAATAATGACAGAATCTTCATTATTGAGCAATCATCAGGGAGTTAGGCAATTAAAACTTTTATTAAGAGAAAGATGCAAAAGTGGCAAATTTTCTGGGAAAATTATAAAGGTCTTTATTTCTTCAAATGAAAGCTGTTCTTTTGAATTTCATTCAAAGAATCTTTAAGAACAGGACTTCAATAACTCCAAAAATATTCAAATTCAAATTCTTTTTTGCATTGATAATAATCAAAGACTCATAAACACCTAACCAACATACTGTATCAATATATTAGAATTTTCCAAACAACTAAGTGACACTGAAGACTGAAGTAATGCCTGCTGAGATTTACTTTACACATTTGAGTTTGAAAAACTTACCTGTAGATTGAGATTAGAGGACAAAAGCATAGGAGGAACAAATCCATTGATAACAATATCTACCAACAGAACTCCCTCTCCATCCAGACCTCTTGCCACGTGTGTCAGCTTTAAAATCTCTCCTGTCATTTCAAGACACAACACACATTCAGGATCCACAATGTAATGGTCTCGTCCTCATTTACAGCTACATGTCTTATTAGAGCATTAGCACTGTAACCTGTTTCAAACTCTAGCTGAGATTCCTGTCTGAACTGCCCTTCAGTGATGGAGAAGCCATTCTGGGTTTCCTGTGTTTGATACACTGTTGTCCAGTATACCGGGGCAAATACAGACACAAGCACTCGCAACAAAGGACCTGTAAAGGAGGTAGAAATAATATAAAATAAATAAATGATCAAAATGTTTTGTTCAAAAATAAGAATAATAATTAATGATAGTAGAGAAAAAATAATGGCATTTGATTTTTCAATGATGAACATTGTAGATATTTGAAAAATGATGCTATCAGAATACAAATAAATAGGATAAGACTTTCATGTCAGGATATGTAGTTCAATTACCAAAACATTTAAGACTGACACTTTACTTCAAGGTGTCCTTGTAATTTTTAATTATTTTCAGCTTGTAACTATTTAACATTTTGATATTGTTTTGACAAATTCCTGTTAATCTATATGGCATGTACACTACCTGACAAAAGTCTTGTCGCCTATCCAAGTTTTAGGACACACAAAGAATAACTTGGCTTCTAGTTTATCATTGGTATCAGAAGTGGCTTATGTGAGAGGCAAAGGCCTCTAGATTATGCTTATTTTACCAAAAAAAAAAAAAAAAAAAAAAAAAAAAAAAATATATATATATATATATATATATATATATATATATATATATATATATATATATATGATCATGTCTAGATTTGTAATTATTTAATTAGGACCGTAAGAGTTGACTTTGCTTAGACAAAGGTCTTGTCACGTAACAGAGATAATGTACTGTATATAATATAAAGTCGTGGTGCAGTGAAAAGAGAATGAATATTGTGTATGACTCCCATGAGCTTGGAGGACGGCTTCCATACATCTCTGCAATGACTTAATGTTTATGTCTGGTGACTGGGCTGGCCAATCCTGCAGCAGCTTGACCTTCTTTGCTTTCAGGAACTTTGATGTGGAGGCTGAAGTATGAGAAGGAGCGCTATCCTGCTGAAGAATTTGCCCTCTCTTGTGGTTTGTAAAGTAATGGGCAGCACAAATGCCTTATTGCCATCAACTCTGCAGATCTCTCGCACGCCCCCATACTGAATGTAATGAATGTAACCCCAAACCATGATACTTCCTTTACCAAACTTGACTGATTTCTATGAGAATCTTGGGTTCATGCTGGTTCCAATAGGTCTTTACAAGTATTTGTAATGATGCAGTTGAACAGATGATTAATCAGAAAAATCTACCTTCTGACATTTTTCCAAATAAAGTCAAGTTGCTCTTACAACTGGGATCGTCGACAAGACTTTTGTCAGGTGGTGTATATTATAGATCACTCACCAACACTTGGAGGAATGTTTTCAACATGGGCCTCCAGGGTGCTGGTGCCCTCCAAATCATTTTCTGTGATATTGGCTTCTAGATATGCCACCCCAAACTCCTTCTCATTGACCATGCCTATCAGACTGCCCCGTGCACGCCGTGGAGACTCTCCTACCCAACAGAGCAGAAAGACATTAGTCAGGGTTCTTGTAGTGTGTACCATAAGAGAAAGTTTGAAGTATATTTTACAACAAATACACCATCAATGCTTCACTTTATTGCATCATTATTGTTTTCTCAATTCACCTGGACAGAGTGAGGCCTGACATTTCCTGGAATCTACATTTGGACCCTCACACAATGGGCCGCCGTAGGCTGGTGGTGGATTGTTGCAAAATCTGATTCGTTCCTGGATGCCTTGACCACAGGTGACGCTGCACGGGCCCCACTCCTCCCAGTTTGAGTAACCACCAGGGACTGAAAAACACAAGAGAATGTGAAATATCAGAATATGCATCTACATTAGATCAGTTATCCTAATATAGATGAGCTCTAATAAAATTGCTACCTTGTACTTTCAGTGATATTGTTCTTTCTGCAGCACCTGCCTCACTTTCAGCAACACATCTATACTCTCCTGAATCTCCAATCTGGAAAACAGATATATTTAGGTCTCACATGCATTATTTGATCAAAATCTGGTCAAACAGCTTATGACAACTTCTAGTATTAAATGTTAAAAGTCCTAAATGTTGTAGGCATTGCTTTCATCATAAAGTACTACTTACTATGGCACTGTAAAGAGCCAGAGAGCCATTACGGAGGGGATGAAACCGCAAAGATCCGAGTAAGGGCTGTCCGTCTTTGTGCCAGCGAAGGGAAGGGACAGGATCGCCGCTGACTGCACAGTCCAGCATGGCTGATTTTCCTTGAATTACAGTCTGTGAAGTGTGGGCTTCCCCTCTCAGCACAGGAGGCTCTGGAAGAACACAATGTAAACAGTAGTGGTCAATACCTGTATTTTCAACATCTGTTAAAACTCTATGATTGTCGTGTTTCACCTGTCTCTCTGCTCTGTCTAGAAAACATCTGACTGGACACTTCCAACTGATTGCTTGCTTCTCATAGGCCTACAATATTTTAAAAGCTGTGACATAACTTCCTTGGCGGCCATCTTGTTTTGGTCACTAGCTTTGTGTTCTTTTTTTGTGTAACTAGCTTTGTGTTAGTTATTTTGGCCTTGTAAACTCCTGAATTTAAACCCCAATAAAATTTCATTTTTTCTTGTGTTATATTGTGCACCATCCTAGACGGTGCATGACAATAGTTTTTAAAACAATAGTTTTAAAAATAGTTGGATACATATCAACAACGCTGCAGAATCAAACACATTTAACACAGAATAAAATGAAAAAAAAAAACACATTATAAAGCACAGTGTAACACAATAAATTTAAATACATTAAGGACCAAACATTTTGATTTAAAAAATTTGCCTAGACATAGTTGAATTATAAGAGTTGAGTAGTAGATGGAAATGACAGACCAACAGGACAATTAGAACTGTTATATTCAACAGTAATTTGACTGTAACATTGCACAAGGGATCAATAATTTGCATGTCCCAGGCTGTGCTTGATTGGCCACAATGTTTCCTAGATAGATTACGACAATGATGAATTTTCCCTTATTTTTAAAACTGTAAAAACTTATTTTAACTTGCTTTGTACGTGGGACTCTTATTTTGAAAAAGGGAGAAGCAGGGAGACTAAAGTCAGTTTATATTGGTTTCTATCAAAATGGTCACTGGTAGCGCTGGTCTGCATACACTTATTGAAAACAATTTTTAGTATTTTAAAAGATGTGGCACAGCACTGCATGTCTGGCGTGTGATGGGCTTAAATGAGTAGGTCTCAGCCCACTGTCTGATCACGAATGTGCCTCACTGAAAAAACATAAGTTCTGTTTAAATGTATCTTTTGTTATTTTAACATGCATATTGTGAAACTTTTATAGTATGTTTGTAATTCAACAACAAACACACGTAAATTGCTAGTAAAAAACTTTTATAACACATTTATGCACCGTGTCATATCACTCAGCTCTTAGTGTGATTTGTCTTGTCTTGAGTGCAAGGACATTCATATATCTGTTTATGTATAAATTTATATTAATTCCTTACTATGTTTTCATATATGTTAATAGCTTCAAAATACAAATCTACATACACCTTGTCCCTTTTATTGAGAATAATTATGATTTAGACTATATTTATCCACAAATAAACGCAGGAGCAAATTATGCTACCCCAAAAAGGTAGCACAGTCACTCATTATAGCTACAATTGAACTCTCCACTCACTTGAATGATTTTACAAGGCATCTACTCAATTTGTTATAATATTTTTTGACAAATGAAATATGATTATTTCACATCTGTTTATTTTAGAGTACATCATTGTGTGTGTTTTAGTGTGAAAGAGAGGGAAAGCACAGATGAGATGCAGAGCACCATAGCTAGTGGTGTAATGGATCACAAATCTCACGATTCGAATCACATGGTTTTTGAATCACAGATCAGACCATTTTTCGGATCAGCAAAACAGGGAGGAGACAAAAGCAAATTTGCTTTTCATTTATACAAAATAGCACTGCAAAAACCATTGGTTTTAACTAACATAATTTAGAACCTTTATTTTATTAAAAATAAAAACCAAAAAAGAACCAGCTAAAAAAAAGGAAAATATTCAAAAACAAAAAAATGTTTGCTACTGTTGCTGATAATGCTAAATATATAGAAATCTAACATCTTGTACAACATATTATATTTATTTTCAATTAATGATTCAACAATTCACACATAAAACTTCATGTTTGATTATAGGTGTATAATTTTTGAAATCCTATTCAGTGACATAATTTGATGTGAGTTTGTTGCCACCAACTGGTTACATAATGTGATTGCTACAACATTCACCAGCTTCAAGTTATTTAACTTTATTTAACTTATTTAACACCGTTTCATTAAACGGTGATCTAAGTCTTTACCACAAACATCAGTGTTTATATCTGAACTATAAACTCTTCTCCCAGTAATTCTATGTTTTTAATTGTTTGTTACTAACTGAATTTTTTTTTATATCTGAATCCCCCTCGATCAAACACGGATTTGACAGCAGCACTTCGAAGGATTAATAAACATGTGCAAATTACATTTATCATTCATTATGCGTGGGTTTGAATAGAGATCACGATCTTTAAATGTTTAATTGTGCAGCTTTACACCGAATACATTAATGCAGGCTAAACAAACAGTGACAGAAAACAACTTTAATTAATAACCTGAGAAAGCATTTAGGATTTATTCCGTCATCATTATATTTTACAGGGAAGCCAAAATGCTTTCATACACGTTATTTGAATGACGCTGGAGGCGATCTCTCTGCAATTATCATAAATGCTGGATTAATCTACAAGTTAAAAAAAAGTTATTAATCTGCGGGTCAAGCGCACTCTGAACCGTGGGTTGTGATCTGTATGGATCAACCGTGATCCGTTAGACTCCTAGTCATAGCAAAGTTTATTGATTTTCACAAACGTTCCAAATATTGTCAAAACTGAGCTTTCATTCTAGGGGTCATGTCTGAGGTTATAAACGGACATAAAACTGTTTCTGGAGATGTTGTTTTACTTACCTAAACCATATATACCTACTATGTAAATATTGGAACCATTTAATGTATTTAACCAAAGCACTCTGTGGCAGCTTTAAGACCCAGCAGAAACCCCGATTTTTAGTCAAGATTTTAGTCAAGCAATGTAACACTTAAAAATTCAGCAGTTTTTTTCTACATACCTCTAACACGCACAAATGAGAGAGCCCGTATGAGTCCAACAGTGTTCTCTGCAATGCAGGCATAGGTTCCCCCATCGCTGACGGTGACATTGTCAAAGATCACTGAACTTCTGCCTGTTTCATCAACACTTGCACCTGTGGTTAAAAATGAAAGTATTCTTCAGTTCCTGAAAAAATAACTTGTCAAAAGAATGCAGATAATGCGGCCCTCTCATACCAGTATAGGGCCTGTTGTTGGCAGTCCAGGTTATGGTGGGTGTTGGAGTACCCTCAGCATGGCAGGACAAGCTGAGACTCTGACCTTTATTCAACGTCACATCACCAGGTAACTCTTTAAATGCTGGTCTCATGTTGACAGTCAGGCGAATGTCCCATCGAGCCGATCCTGCGGTGTTAGTTGCTACACATGTAAACAGACCTGCATCACCAGCCTGCAAATTTACAAAGTCAAGTCACTTTTATTGTTGAACTGTTTCAAAGCAGCTTTAAAGTGAAAACAGACAAAGTAATATTATGATGAGGGCTTATTTTCATGCAGCTCATTTAACACACTGCACACACTGACCTCTGCCCTTTCGATAATCAGGCCTCCTGACTCTCTGAGAGTAAATTTGCCGGGCATGTTTGACACCGAGACCCCCTTTTTCTCCCAGCTCATCCTGGGCTCAGGAACACCCTGTGCTGCACACGGCAGCATCACTCGCAAGCCCTGCATGACAGATATCTCTGACTGACCAACAAAAATCTGCGGTGGGGCTGGAGAGAGGAGAGGTACAGCAAATCTTACAAAAACAGGAACAACAATGTCTACAGTAATTTAGAGACTGTAGTTTGAGAATATGGTGTAATTTAATGTTAAATATTTTCAAGCATATGAATGTTTTATGTATTTACAAAATAAATTCATACATTCCATAAGGGAAGTCCTGAAGGCAAAAAGGGGTCCAACCCATTATTAGTAAGGTGTACCTAATAAAGTGGTCGGTGAGTGTACACAATCATTTAAACATGAATAATTAAGAATTTACTTTATGCATGTGTGTGTTTTTTAAAAGAAACAATATACTTTTATTTATTAAATAGCCTATAAATTAATATTAAAGCTGTTTATTTAATAAATTAATATCATGATTTTATATATTAATATAATAATTAACTCAAATTATAAATCGTTATTTTTTATTTTTACATTTATGTAAACTCTGTCAATTCTTTTTCTCTGTCAATTTACATTTCAATTATTATTATGTATGATATATGTATTTTTTTAATTGTTAATGTTAACACTTATATCATTATTTATATATTTTAATTACAATTTATTATATTAGTATAGTCACTATATAACTGTCAAATTATTTTGTTAGAAAAAAGTACAAATTTGTTATGTTAATAATTTATTTGTAATAATTCCAATTAATACCCGTTCTTTTATTGACAAAAATAGTTCCTGTTTTATGTATAAATCTCAAAATAATTGTAGAAACTTTTGCTTAAAAAAGAATATATTGCAAATAGAAGAAAAAATGTTTCATATCATATTAAGTGCAAATTTTAAGTGCATCTTCACCAGTGAGCAATCATCAACTGAAAAAAAATCCAGATTAATATCTTTTGTATAAGACATACAGTGCTTCTCCTGGTATCGTGTGTAACTCACTATGCAAAATGAGTCTGACATCATGGCTTGCTCTGCCGACGCTGTTTCGAGCTGAGCAGGTGTATATTCCTGCATCACCACGTTGAGTAGCAGTGATGTGAAGGCTGCCATTGGAGAACAGTCTCAGGTGTGAACTGTCAACCACTGGTCGCCGATCTCTGTGCCACGTCACCTCTGGTTTCGGCTGACCGTCTGCCACACAATCCAGACTGACTGGCTGACCGAGAACCACTACGTACTCCAGACGAGGAACAGACAACACTGGAGGGACTGGCAACCAAACATATACTTCAATACCTGGTTTGAGGTACAGCTTTAGAAAGTCAAAATCATGAATCGAACATCCAAATGATCTCAATTTGCTTTCTAATATCATTTGTTAAAAACATTCACGTTGCCACAGAAGTATAGGAATGACAGCTACAGTACAATAAAAATTGGCATTTAAAGTATTAGTTCACCCAAAAATAAAATTATGTTATTATAACTCATCTTCATGTTGTTTCAATCCCCTGAGACCCTTAATCATTCATCTTTGGTACGCAAATCAAGAATTGTTTGATGAAATTCAAGAGCTCCCTCATCCTTCATAGACCATGCCTGTCAACCCTCCTGTTTTTATTGGGATTCTCCCGTATTTTACAGTTCTATCCTACCATCATTCCATAAAGGAATTTTTCCATATTTCTCCTGTATTTTCTCTCTGTTTATGAAGGGTGGCAATACACATTAAAGAGCCGATCCTCCCTGTACGCAACCCATACCATCAAACCAACAGGGGATGCCCCTTGCTCTTAAATGTGAGTCTGTTCTGTTCTGTTCTGCTTTATTTAGGCATGAAAATATTTTGTGATAAATATGAAAACGGACGGATTTCCTTCATTTCCTTTATAGGCGCCGTCGCCTTTCCAATACAATCCTCAAAACAGTCAAGTAGAGGTGCGTGTCTGAAAGCTGACGTGATCCATAGTGATACATAGATGCTCATTCCCAAACTGATTCTTTACACGCGATTTGATTCGGAACAAAAGTCTGGGTTTTGGGTGCATGTTTAAACAGACATATACACATAATTAATAATAACATCTAAAGATGTTGATCTTGGTGGGTTTTCTTTCAAACAACTAAATTTGTCCTAAATGAGCATTTATGAACAAAAAGTTAGGAAAGCAATCGGATGCTTTCATATAACATTTCATCATTGCATTTTTAAAGTGACACCTCTGTTACTTAATCAAACGAAACATCTAAACGATGGATTCATTTGTTGCTCTTTTAATCAGAATGAGTAAGTTATAAAGTGAAGGAAAGATTAATGAGATTTAATAACTTTCAATTTCTTTATAATAGCTATTAATTTTAATAGTCTAAACTGTTTGCTAAGTTATTTGCAGCTTTTCTAATGTATACTAGTCTATTTATTCTATCCTTTGTAAATAATAATAAAACACATTACTGACCATTTAACTATATGTTTAGACAGCTCCAGATAAACAAATTTAGTAATTTGTGGATTTTTTGGCCCTGAAGAGGGGTGGGGGGGGGGGTGTATAAGCATATCCCTCATTTTCACATCCCAATGTTGACAGGTATGCCATAGACAGCAATGATCACAGGACACTACAGTCCAGAAAAGCCAAAAACATTGTAAAAAAAAAAAAAACATTCCATGGGTCTTCAGAGGTTCAACTGTACCCATATGAAGCTCCATGAACACTTTAGTGGAAAAAAAAAACTAATCCGTAAATGAGACTAGGCTATATCATCTCTTTGTCAGGTCAGGGGGCAGTACGATTGCCAGTATGATGCATTGCCATTAGAGTCAGCCACACAACATGAAAGTGTTGCATTTTCTCTAGTAAATCTGAGCTGTTGCGCAAGTCATTGGAACACAAAGTCATTTTTACTATTTTTCGCCACACATAATAGTTAGCAGAGCCTTGAATGATTACAGTTGAACCACTGAAGACACATGAAATGTTTTTGGTTTACTTTTTGGACTTTTAATAACCTTTGATTGAGGACAAGCATCTCTCAGATTTCATTTCATGAGTTCACCTGCTTAATCAATTGCATTAACATGGTAAATGATTTTAGCATTGCTTTTCTGAAGTGGGGGCCTAAGCTATCGACCCCTGAAGAGAGCTCAAACCTCCTGTCCCCAAAGGAGGCTTGAGGCTTGACTGCTCCTCATATAGACATGTGATGATTGACTGACTCATCTGCTGATCAGGCTCCTCCTGAATTAAGTTAGGGACTTAATCTAAAATATCTCAATTTGTGTTCCGAAGATGAACGAAGGTCTCAGGGGTTTGGAACATCACGAGGGTGAGAAATAATAACATAACTTTCATTTTTGGAGTGAACAAACCTATTAAACTTGACACTTCAAATGATTGCAACAATGTTACATTATGCCAAATAGTGTCGATACACAATTAAGAATGTATGTGTCGCTGCATAATTCAAGAGAATAAAAAATGCTGATTCATCTAGAAATGAAACATGACACCTGTATGAGTGAATCATTAAATCATTCAGTCAAACTGAGATTAAAATAATTACATTTATTCAATAACATAAAAATAGGCAGCACAGAGGCTCAGTGGTTAGCACTGTTGCCTCACAGCAAGGATTCACTGGTTGGAGTCCCGGCTGGGTCAGTTTGCATGTTCTACCCATGTTCGTGTGGGTTCATTTTGCTGTGACCCCTGATAAATAAGGGGCTAAGCCAAAGAAAAATGAATGAATGAATGAATGAATGAATGAATACACATAAAAATAAAATACATAAAATAATTAAATGATTCTAATAAAAATGAATTTGTTTTATTATTTTGTTAAATTTTCTCTGTAAATTTGTGGATTCATTCCATCCAGAATCGTGCTATACTCTAGCTTGAGGTTTAGATACAAAAATGTGACACACCTTGTAATATAAGCTGGGTTTGTGCCAAAGCTGTTCCTGCTTCATTCTGTGCTAAACACTGATATGTTCCTGCATCTCCAAGAGTAACACGTGAAAACTTCAGAGCTCCATTGGAGAGAACCGCCAGTCTGTGACCTGAAAATTACACAGAGCCACGGCACGTTTATCAGAGAATCTTCTACTAATAATACTTGAGGCACAAATATATTACTTGCTGTGCTTATATAACAGAATGTAAAAGTAGCTCATTAATATTTCCTTTTTATAATGCCACTGACAATTTTCTGATGTGTCTCTTTAAATTACACACATGGATGACTGTACATTATTTTTACAAATTATTGTATATAGCACATAATAATTACTGGCATTATATAAATAATTAAAAATAAATATTATTTAAAATGATAATTTAAAAAACAAATTACAAGACCTCAAAAACCAAACAAAAATTAATTAAATATACTAGCAAAAAGTAAAATAGATACAATATAATAACTATTAACCAGGCTCCTTTCAAAAACATTAAATATTTTACTAACTTATTAGACTTATTTCATATTATTTATGTTTTAAGGTAAGTTTTAAGGTAAACCAGCACAAAACAATTTTAATAGCTCAATCAACCTGAAAAAGGTTTGATGGCTGTTTCATATGCATTTATTTTTTTTGACCTTATTTGTAGTTTTATATAAAGCCTGCCAATCACTTTACAGCAGATACAGCTCCAAGATCTTTAGTTTGAGGTCAAACCTGCAACCTTGAGGTCAAACTGTTCTCTTAACTAGTTTCAATCACTAGGGCACAACCTGACCAACCTGTGGCCACAGGAACTCCTTCTCGCTGCCATGTGATGGTGGGTCTGGGGAATCCCTGCACTTCACAGGGCAAAACCACTGAATGATGTAACACCACCTGAACCTCTTCTGCCATAGGCCTGATCTCTGGCGGTTCTGAAAACACACACACAAAAACACAAACCAAAATTTGGTTATCACATGTTCCATGTGAGCTTTTCAATCACAGGACAATTTTAATAAAGTGAGACATTGCAGACATTTTTTTAATCATGTTTTGTTTATTATGAAGCTTGCTGGCAGTCTAATGAAAAAAAAGGTAACACTTTACTCGAAGGTGTCTTCAAAATAAATTTTATGCATGCTTATGACAACTGTCATTAAGTGTCATTCCCTCAGTTCTGTAATTTTAAATATAAATATGACATTTTTTTTAAATGTCTTTGTTATGACAACTCTGTCACAATCTCCAGTGATCCAGTCTAGGCAGATCATTGGTGAACTACATACAGTATGTCACCTTTACGAACTACAAATCCCATCATGCCGTTTTACACACACCAGTCAGCAATCACCGCTGATGACACACGCAGCTGAAGCATGTGATTAATGATAATTGGGAATTTTTATACACCACACACACTAGCTCTTTGCTGAGTCTTTGTTTGCTGTTGCTGTTTGTTGTATCGAGTGTTTCTAGCTCTTAGCTTTGCTTGTCATGTTTTTGACCCAAGAATTGTCTTTTTGTTGTATGCTTTTTTGCCGCCTGTACTGACATTATGTCGGTTTTATGACCATGATTTGGATGGCCAGTATGTTTCTGTTTTGCTCCTGTACTGACCATTGCCTGCCTTTATGACTAACCTTATTGAACTGAAATTGGATCCTTACTTTTGTTGTCCTCAACGTGCTCCTGCATGTGACAGACTCGACATAAGCAAATACATAATAACCTGTCTTTGTCATGACGACATTACCATGACAACAAAACTTGTCATAAAGCGATTATAAACGTGATTGCAATTATAATTGTGTTATGAACTTTTCTGATCACTTTTTAAGTGGAACTAAATCAATTTGTCACTAAAATTTCTCATTATGATTAGTGTCATTACTCAACTGACAAATAATTTTATAACAATATTTTTATAACAATATTTAATGACATTTTATGACAACATTTGTACCGGTGCAATTGAGGTCATTAAAAATATTAATGACGGTGTTATAAAATTAATGACACAATTATAATGGCCTTATGAAAATGAGTTTATTTACAGTAATGTTAGTATTGGTAATATCTGAACTATGGAGCTATAAAAAGAGAATGTCCCTCTGTACAAACCTTTGACTCGTTGATTTGTGTGTTAGAAATCAAGCCAAATTAGGACATATTAAATCTATGTCATTCTTAACATGATCAATTAACTGAGGAAGTATGATGATACATATATATCATTTTTTTATTCACATGCAGTGTTTTCCATTATTATTTCTGTCTTACCCTGTACAGTAAGAGTAACATGTTTATAAGCCACACCAACAGGATTACGAGCAGAACAGGTATATTTGCCAGCATGACTAGGAGTTGCAGCCAAGATCTCCAGCGCTCCTGTATCACAATGAAACAAACACAGTGACATGATGCAGTATTAAATATCAGTAACAGCGGGTGGGGTTTTCAGGAATAGTGGGTTATTGTTGTCTCGCATCTGACCTGTGGGCAGTACACGATAACTACCACCTCGAGCACCCAGCTGCATCCAGTTCTTGTTCCAGCTAATGACAGGCTCAGGACGTCCCGTAGCATGACATGGCAACACCACGGGAGACATTTTAACTGCCGTAACACTGCTGACATCATCTTTAATCACAGGGGGAACTGTGAAAACAATGAATTATGTTCATTCAATGAATACACACAGACATTCAATATGAATCATATTATTCATACAGTATATGTACAAAGAATAAGTCATATACTGTAAGTACCGTATTTTGGACATTTAGTTAATTCTTCAAAAAAAAAAAAACTATAAATTTTGAAAAAGAAAAAATAAATCCAACTGATATAAAACTACAGATATTAAGTTTAAATAATTTTGTTACCTAATATATGTAAAATATGAAATACATTTACATTTAGTCATTTAGCAGAAACTTTTATCCAAAGCGACTTCCAAATAAGGACAAGGAAGCAATTTACACAACTATAAGAGCAACAATGAATAAATGCTGTAGGCAAGTTTTAGGTATGTAAAGTGTAAGACGCAAAACCATTAATAATAAATATTTATTTATTTATTTATTTTTTGTAGTACAGTTAGCGGTGGAGCCAGAGAGGAAATTGCAGATTAGGAAGGAAAGTGGAGACTAAATAGTTGAGTTTTTAGTCGTTTCTTAAAGACAGAGAGTGACTCTGCCGTGATGCAGTTAGGGAGTTCATTCCACCAACTGGGCAGATTTAAAGCGAGAGTGAAAGTGAAAAGTGTTTTCTTCCCTCTATGGGAAGGAACTACGAGGCGATGTTCATTCACAGAACACAAGTTTTTGGAGGGCACATCTGAAGACGTTTGATAGAGTTAGCTGGAAGCCCAGCTGGAAGAGAGTTGCAATAGTCCAGTCTGGAGAGAACAAGAGCTTAAACAAGAGGTTGAGCTGCATGATCAGATAGGAAGGGTCGGACCTTTCTAATGTTATAGAGTGTGAATCTGCAAGATCGAGCAGTTCTAGCAATGTGGTCAGAGAAGTTTAGTAGGTTATCAATCGTTACTCCAAGGCTTTTCACCATTTTGGATGCAGTAATGGTTGCCCCATGCATCTGGATTGAAAAGTTATGATGTAGAGTTGGGTTGACAGAAACTTCAAGCATTTCTGTTTTCACAAGGTTAAGCTGAAGATGATGATCTTTCATCCAGTGTGAAATGTCTGACAGGCAGGCTGAGATGAAAGCCGGAACCGAGGGATCATCAGGGTGAAAAGAGAGGTATAGCTGGGTATCATCAGCATAGCAGTGATAGGAAAGTTTTTGACCCCAGTATGCTACAAGCCGAAAATAGGTATCATTGGAAAGACACTTTAAGCTCTACTATGGTTCATCTCGAAAATCATGGAAAGTTTCATGCTCAAAAATATAAAAAGTTATACATTATGAAGTAATGAGATTTTTTTGTATTTATTATTTGTTTTTCTATATACAAACACAGGAAAATATTAATTTAATGACCTAGAAAAAAGATGCCTTGAAAGCCAAAAATATCATGAATTATACATCAAATTTGATGAAGGTGGCATGCAAAATAGTTTTCTGACTGAGGCCATATCGGTGTCCTTTTTTCCCTAGCTGTCAGAGGCATTTTCTCAAAAATGACCTTCCCAAACTGAAACAGTAACAGTAACAGTTGCTGAATAATTTGGTCTACATTCACAGTTCATGTATCCATCATCCACAGTTTATAATGCTTAAAATGAAATGTAACTTTATTTAAAATATATAATCATTTTAGCTGAAAAAGAATAACAAATTTAATTACAGCTAAAATTAAATTAATACAAAATAACGATTTACTGACACATTTACATGTGACTTAAAAGCATTCAAACAGATTTAGCTGGGGGAGGGGCATAGTACTGTATATGAGCATGAATAGATATTTAATGTGTGTTATCATCCATGAACCTCTTACAGTACCTTGCAGAATGACCTCTATGACTCTTCGCTCTTCTCCAACCTCATTGGTCACTGTGCACTCGAAATAACCCTCATCCTCAGCAGTCGGTGATGTAATGACCAGAGAACCAGAAGACATTAACCTTCAAAACAAAGTCATTTAGTACACACACTTTATTATAAACTATAAATACATTTGTAATTAATTTATATTTGTTAGTAAATAAATAAAATCAATCAATAAAAAATATATAATGAAAAAAATAATGTGTAATATATGTGTTTAAATAAAAAAAACTTATACATATGCATTTGAAATACATATGACAAGACATAAACCAAAAAGCACTGCAACAAACTGCTTTGTGTGAGTGTGTTTGTCAGAATAAAAAAAAAAAATTACATTTTAGAAATATCAATTTAATTTAAATAGTAAATTTGCCAGTAAATATTATTTATTTTGTGATTGCTTACTGTACATATAAAGTAGCATTTCTAACCTATAAGCGCTTGACTGATCCACACTGATAGGTGAGCCATTCCTCCTCCAGCTGACCTGAGGAGCAGGAATACCAGTGCTCTCACAACTTAACACTGCCCTTTGACCTGTGACCACTGTCACATTAAAGGGACCAGGGCTAATCGAGGGCCCGACTGAAAGCAAAAAATGTGGAAAGGAAAGAAAATTAGCCTACATCCTGTCTTAACACTATTTAGGAGTTTGTTAAAACTATCAAATAATTTTAACTTTTAAAGCTCTTTATACAATGCAAGTTGTGTCATAGCAACTATCCTTAGATATTAGGGAATAGTAGAAAACCAGCAATAAAGAATCAATAACATGGAACAAGCTCAGTGATTAGGCACGTTCAGTTCCAAAGAATGCTGAACTTGCATTAGCATTTGCATTATTCAATGCTAATATGTCTCTAATTATTATAGTGTATGTTTTTGCAGTATACCGTAGACTTTAAGGTCCATGCCACGATGGTCTGATCCAGCCTGATTAGACACACTGCAGTAATAACGACCAACATCAGACAGCTGCACTGTAGAAATACGCAAAGATCCCTCTGACAGCAAGGTGAATCTGTGTCAATCAATTAATCAATCAATCAATCAATCAATCAATCAATCATGCAATCAATCAATCAATCAATCAATCAATCAATCAAATGTTATTTTTAAAACACTTTTAAAATCAAAACCAATTGCTGTACAGAAGACTAAAATTCAAATATGACATGAAATACAACTAAACTGCTTAAGAAAATATAAACAAACAAACAAACAAAAAAGCAAACAATGTCAAAGTGCAAAGAGAAAATATATATATATATATATATATATATATATATATATATATATATATATATATATATATATATAAAAAAACAGACAATGAAGAGGGCTGTCTATCAAACAAATCAGAAGTTTAATAACTAGTTTTGAAGCCACTACAGCAAAGGCATGGTCCTCTCTGAGTTTACGCTATGTTTTAGGCCCAATCCCAGTACTACCCCTTAGCCCTTCCCCTTACCCCTCATTTTCATTGTTCACGTAAAGGGGTAGGGGTGTCCCAATTATCTTTAGCTTGAAGATGTAGGTTTAAGAGGATGGGGTAGATACCCCTTCAAATGAAGATTTTTCAGGACCTCACTCGAAACCAAAGGGTAAGAAAATTTCCCAGAATACACCAGCCATAACAACAGGATCGCTGCACCCGAAAGTAAGGAGATCCACAAATTAGTATTTTTTATCATTATTACGAATTTTTACAACAAACAAGCACATGTTTTAATACAGTCATAATCACGTTTGTGTTTTACTGTCATGCTTAAAAAATACCTGCTAAAATAAAAACCATTAAATATCGCTATCTATAATCCATAATCATAACTCCTGTACAGCAGTTCCACAACATTTTGACACTCGATGACGCTCAAATACCCTGTCAGAAAGGTCAAGTGGCTGGGATTGGGCTTTTTACAGTGTCTGCTATAATGTTAATGTTGTTTTTGTGCGTTTATATAAATGAATATGGCCATGATGTAAATGCACAGTACAGTTATGATCTTGTTGCCACATTATTTCATTATGATAACATAATATATGCCTTCAGTAATTTCTTGAAGATAAATAACAAAAAATTACACAACTGGAATAACTACAGCAGTCGCCATCGTCTGATCTCATGAGAAGCAAGAGATTGCAATGACACGACAATGTGTGCAGCTGCTGTAGTGGTGTCCCATTTCTTAGGGGTACATTTTAAAGCCCTTTCCCTTCACACTCGGTTTTAAGGGCCAAGGGGAAGGGGTATGGGCCTTGACACATTCAGAAACAACTGGTCAGCTGACCTGAGAGATTGAGGTGGTGTATATGCATTTCTGAAATGTACAGTGGAAAAAGATTATTTAAGAATTTAAAAACAAATAAAGAAATCTTAAATTGGATCATAAAATGTACAGCCAGTCAGTGAAGTGACACGAAAAAAGAGGAAATATGGTCAAATCTGTGTGTACCAGTAAAAAGACACACTGCAGCATTTGTAGAAGAGAAGAGACAAAAGACCCACTAACCCTCACATTCAGCGAATTACAGTAATCTAGCCAAGTGGTAACAAAGGCATGGATTACTGCCTCAGGCTAGGGAGAAATGGCTTTATTTTGACCAGCTGCCTCAGTTGGAAAACAATGACTACCCTGAGTTGCCAGTCAAGCTTCACGTCAGAGTCATTTTTTACCCCTACTTGGGGATGGTTGGTTTGATGTATTGAGCCAAGGTACCCAAATGGACCAGCATGATTCAAGTAGTGCCCCCATCACTTAGGTTTTTTTTATTTTTCACTAAAACTAAAGAAATTAAGAGCCGGACGTCACGGTGGTGCAGTGGGTGGCACAAACACCTCACAGCAAGAAGGTCGCTGGTTCAAGTCTCAACTGGATTAGTTGCCATTTCTGTGTGGAGTTTGCATGTTCTCCCCGTGTTCGCGTGGGATTCCTCTAGGTGCTCCGGTTTCCCTCACAATCCAAAGACATGTGGTACAGGTGAATTGGGTAAGCTAAACTGTCCGTAGTGTATGTGTGTGAATGAGCGTGCATGGATATTTCCCAGTAAAGGGTTGCAGCTGGAAGGGCATTTGCTCCGTAAAACACATGCTGGATAAGTTGGCGGTTCATTCCGATGTGGAGACCCCAGATTAATAAAGGGACTAAGCCGAAAAGAAAATGAATAAATGAACAAAATTAAGAGCTATCCAGACTCATTATTACTGTTAAGAAAGTGCAGTAGCAGCCTGAAGATATCACCCTTTCTGACTAGTAAATAAATCTGGTTATCATCTGCATAAAAATAAAATGATTAACTATGCTTCTTTACTATTGAATCGAGGGAGAGCAGATAAAAAAAGAAAAGAAGTGAACGTAACCCTGTGCCCTGCTGTATTCCAGAAAAAAAGCGTATTGTCCAATAAATTAAGGGCAGGACTGATGCTGTTTGAAGTTCGAACTTGCCTGTTATTGTGAAGAGGAACTGGGCCTCCATCTTTCCTCCACATGACAGAAGAGGACGGTGCTCCTTCCACCTCACATGGCAGCACTGCATCCTGACCGACATGTGCTATGATCAATGAGCTGCCCTCTCTGATGACCGGTGGCACTACAAAAACATGATCAACATGATGTTTACTTTTTGACAACATTTACATTAAGTCAAGTATCACAAACTAGTTTCAAGTGGAGTATGTAATATGATTGATGTGATATGATATGATATTACATTTAAACTTACATTTTAATACTTTGACAACAAGCAGGAAATGTTCATGGGCCAATGACATCACCATATTGAATTGGTCTATAGGTACTGCTTACTAACAAGGTGACAGTGTCAAATACATTCCTGGCATATATACAGTCTTTTTGGCAATTTTCAAAGTCGTATAAATGAAGATTGTTTTGAAAACATGGTTGTGTAAACGTGAGACTTTTTTAAATGCGAAAGAAAAACGTTTTAGTTGTTGGCCAGCGTTTTGGCCATTTTTGTCAAAAATGAAAGGAAATGTGTCCTGATATCAAATGACGTGGTGCAGCAACATGCTAAAAATAATCCATGTTAAAAGGAGTTTTTGTCCCAACCATCTATTAAAGAAATATAAATGACACCTAGAACAAAGTATTTTGCTTTAATTATCACATTACACACTTACCTTTGTAGATTTTAGAACAGATCATTTTCACAGAACTATAAAGAACATTTTTCTTGAAAAATAATAAAAAAAACTTCAGAAACAACAGTCACAGCCTTTGTTTTTCAATTCTTTTCAGTAGGACTTACTATATTTAGCCTTTAATGGGACAATGATTAAATAAACACATGTTTGCTTAAGTGTTATTGCCAAACCTACAACTTAAAAACCTGCCAAGCCAAGCTTGAGCTACAATATTTCTTTTAGTGCTGACAAGAACAATGTAATATGCAACCAATTTGCTAAAGTAAAAATTCAGTGACTGTTACATGAGTTGCTCTTGGCAACTCAGTGGTTTTTGGACACTCTGTTGTCTTCTGGCCTGCACTACAGAGCACTGATCATAAAAAGTGTAAACACTAGGAATATAGTCTTATGAAAACCAAACTTTGACAAACCTCCAAATTTTGAATGATAGTGTATAGAGTGTGCTCAAGTTATATAGAAAACAGCAGTATAAAGGATTTTAAAAACAAAAAAGTCAAGAGTAAATGCCACAAACTTACAGAGAATCTCTACAGTAAAGAACAGACTAGTGCTGCCAGCAATGTTGGTAACCACACAGCTGTACTGTCCACTGTCATGCATCCGGACATCTTGAATTTCCAAAAACTGTCCACTGGCAATGGACTGAATTCGACCTCCCAACTGAGAGAGACAGAAAAGGCAGATTAACGTTAAATAACAGTTAACAAAATACATTCAGAGGATACATTGATCTGTTCTCACCTGTACTTTGACGTTATCCTTGTACCACTCAATCTCTGGTGGAGGGTCACTGTCGGTTTGACACTCAAGAGTCAAGTGACCTTTGGCTGGAACTGAGACAGTTCTGATGTCATTGGAGCCAAGGAGAGTGGGTGGAACTGTAAGTGATCATGCAAAAACAAAAATCTAATTAAACAGTGTGAACATGGTCCTTGATAGTTAGTATCTATCTGAGGGGTCATTTAACGTTTTCACAAAAAATGGTAAACATTTAAAAATGGTAAACATAGGTGTTTGCAGGACAGAAAGCACATTCTGTTAAACTGAAAGATTTTGATAATGATGAGGTTATACTGTACATGTGCACATCATGTGTTTAGGGGAGTAGAATAAAGTCAAAATAATATACACAACAAGAGTTGATGGAATTGTTGTCTTTGTTCAAGTGTTTGCTAATGCAAACTTGCTAATGCAACTTACATCACATTACAAAAAAAATAGGTTTTATGAGCAATGTTTCTGCCTAATCTGTATTCTTTAAAAGAAAAAAAATAAAACTAGTGATGCATGATATTTCAGATATTTGCCCAATAAGATAATGTATACAATTTTAAATTAATGGATTTATTTTTTCTCCGCAGGTTGGTTCAGATCTGTTGCATGATGCTGTCAGGGCTCGCAAAAGTTCAAAATTCCTGGTACCCATTTAAGCAGGCACTCTTAAGCTTTTAGTAGCCAGAAAAGACTAAATAATAATATTTACTGAATAATAATTATTACATAAATTATCTAGATAAAATAGATGTTAAAAAAGTCATTCATTAGAGTCATTATGTATATATTTGTTAAATAAACTGATATTATAGATATTATATAACTAACTGTATTAGAAAATCGGACTAAATTAGCTCTGAGATCTTTGTTGAAGTCATTATTTGGTGTTAATGAAACATACAGTTGAAGTTATTAGCCCCCTTTGAATTTCTTTTCAAATATTTCCTAAATGATGTTTAACAGAGCAAGGACATTTTCACTGTATGTCTGATAATATTTTTCTTCTAGAGAAAGTTTTATTTGTTTTATTTCAGAATAAAAGCACTTTTTATTATTTTAAAAAATGTCAAAATTATTAGCCCCTTTAAGCTATATATTTTTTTCGATAGTCTACATAACAAACCATTCTTATACAATAACTTGGCTAATTACCCTATCCTGCCTAGTTAACCGAATTAACTTTAAGCTGGATAGAAGTGTCTTGAAAAATATCTAGTAAAGATTAATTTCTGCCATCATGTCAAAGATAAAATAAATCAGTTATTAGAAATGAGTTGTTAAAAATATTATGTTTAGAAATGTGTAGAAATTTTTTTTCTCAGTTAAACAGAAATTGGAGAAAAAAAAAAAAAAAAAAAATATATATATATATATATATATATATATATAAATGAATGAATAAATGAATAATACACTTAAAATGTAGCTCAGGCTATTTCTGTATATGAGTGTTTGTGTCAGTACAATCTCTCTTAGTGAGTGATGAGTGTTCAGTGTTCAATTGCATTATATGCACATTTCAGTGTGGAATAGAAAACAAACAAATACACTGACAGAACACTGTTTCAGCATTCACTCTTCATATTGGGGCTTTTCTTCTGTATTCTTAACAAGTAGATTTATTGCAAAAATATCAGCAGCACAGACAGTCCCCATGCATCAGGGCTGACATAAAAAGAGTGCATTATTGCAGATATATTTTATCACATGTACATAAAACTAGCCTCAACAGGTCCTCGGAACAACTAGTACCCAAGAAAAACTGGTACCAAACGCAAATTCAACCACATATTAATATTGTCATCCAATACATATTCAACATATTACCAAATTTGTAAGAGATTACAAAAGCATTGAAATATATTTTTCCTCCCAATAAGATTTTGGTAGATCGACTGGAAGACACAATAGCCCCAGAATGTCAGGGTAGTGATTTTGCAAGCCCTGTGGTTATAAAGATTTGAAATGGTTCCTTGACAATTTAACATACTGCAATGAGTTGATGCAAGAGGGGAGCAGTAAAACACGTATTTTAAAATGTCATGTGTGATAGTGAAGACGAGTAATGATGCTAAAAAAATTCAAATGCTGAACACATGACATGTAAAAATGTCATGCTTTCTCATTATCATGGCTGACAGCAGTTGTGCTGCTTTAAACTTTTGAAGAAACCATGATACTTTTTTCCAGAGTTCATCACTGAATAGAGAAAAAAAAACGGCATTTATCTGAAATAATAAACCTACTGTCATTTTCAATCAATTTATTCCCCTTAAGAGAGTAGGCCTAATAAATAAACTTTCTGAACTCAAGCATTTGAAATGTAGTGCATCAAGAATTTATTTTATTTATACAGTTTTCCCTTGTTTGTAGCATACACACTATCATTTATTCATTTTCCTTCAGCTTAGTCTCTGATTTATCAGAGGTCGCCACAGTGGAATGAACCACTATCTATTTCATATGTTTAATGCATATGTTACTTTTATGCATATGTTTTACACAGCGGATGCCTTAGTACTAGAAAACACCCATACACTCTCACATTCACACACACACTTATAGACTATGGCCAATTTAGTTAATCCAATCCTGTAATCATCTAAATCTTGGTACTAATTTAACTTACGTTGAACGCGCACCCAGTGATTTCTGCCATCCTCTCCAGCTGGGCTACTAGCAAGACAAGTATACAGACCTGCGTCCTCCACCTGTTCCAAATGAAGAAATAACATGTTTGGCACAACTACAAAGATTTATCAATATATACAAAGCTTTATGAATAAGCATTAATTTATATTAGCACCTGAACTTTGTTAATCCTGAGCAGCTGCCCATCCCTTTCTATTATTGCCATGTTGTCCTGTATTGGACGTCCATCTTTCAGCCAGCTGAGTGTTGGAGGAGGAAGACCAGTGGCGATACACTCCAGCTCCAGCAAACTGTCAACTGCAATCAGCTGCTCCTCAGGGGACAAAGAACCAGTGATCTTGGGGGGCTCTAAAAAAGACAAAAACATCCCTCAGGTTTTTGCAAGCACGTATTTCTGCTTCTAAAACATTTCAAATGTTTTTGCTTTGAACTAAAATCCTTCTATGACCTCGTGTTTAGATACAGACCTCAGATTTTACCTTAACTAAATGCTCTTACCTTCAAACAGCCTAAAGGTAAACCCAAAACTGAAAAGTATGTCATTTTTACTCATCTTTCACTTGTTCCAAACCTGTCTGACTGTCTTTCTGCTGTTGAACACACAACAAAAGGGATTTTGAAGAAAGCTGAAAAGCTGTAACCATTGAATTTCATAGTAAAAAAACTAAACAAATACTATGGAAATCAATGACTTTTAACATCTTCAAAATATCTTCATTAGTGTCTAACAGAATAAAGGAGCTATTCCTTAAGGCTCTGTTTTACCCAGTGTCCATATAAGAAGGATGTGGGGTCTCAAACGTGCATGCAATAGTTTACATTGGTGGCTGCACAGGTGTACTTTACAGATCATTAAACATGCAAAGTATCATACCAGTGGGCATTTACTTATGAGTAGGCCCACAAGGAATCTGCGTGTGCAGAAATTTCCGCAGATTTTAGCCCATTTTTTTTACTTGTGTAAATGTGTGTAAATTTGTATATTAATACTTAAGTTACTATACGTTTTTAAATTAATTTCATTCATATTGTTGACTAATATGAAAACGTTCAAATGATTTATTAACTGTACACTTTGTTAAGTTATAGCTTCTGTCTTTTAGTAGATATTTTATATGAGAAACTTGCTTTGTTTACCAATTAAGTAGATCTAATTGGATTTGCATTGTAAACATTAAACAAAAGTTAAAAAGGTATCATTTTTATTTCATACACTAAGTTTTAGTTATGATACTTCCAAAATCATTCCGCATAAATACAATACAATACAATTTTTACAAAATTCTGCGCAGAAATATTTAAAAATGTCTGCAGATTCTGTCTGGCCCTACTTATAATCAAGTCTATTCATAAAGTGTGTTTATGTGAAGGAGGTCGAAACCGGACCAAAAATAGCATATTTCGTTTATGTTTTTTGAAAACAGGACAACAAAAAAAAAAACATTATGGCCCTGTTCCTGGTATTAAAGATGCATTTTAAATATGCATTTGACGTGATCTCAACCGAAATACAAAGAGAGGTTAGGATATAGTGTAGCTCCTCCCCCTTTTAAAAAACAGCGAATGGCGTTTTGTTTCATCACCGCAAGAGTGGTTGAGGTGAAGTGCTCAAATGAAAAGCAAATAAAAAGTGTCTTGCATGGGGTGGGGCATATCAGATACAAGAGAGCATTTGATTGCTTATGATTAAACGAGAATCTGTAGTATGAGGTGATGTGAATGTGAATGATGTGAATTTCATTTAGGCGGAAGTGACAAACTACAAGTTTATATAAACTACATGTTTATATGTTTATATTGTTTTTTTACATGTTTATATTGGTTTTATATCTTCTAAATGCGCATTTTGTCACTGTTTTGGAGCACACTAGCTTATAGATATCTTAAAAACTAACAATACATATGCTAACATCTAAAAAACTTTACTTTAATTGAATGGGACCTTTAAGAGGCGTTTTCATCAATTCGATCACAAATGGACAATTTTAAGTAAATGTGTGAACGGGGTGTGAAATGTTTTGAACTTGTCCTCTTTTAAACGAATCCAGAGGTAGTCAAAAATGCATTCAACCGGATTCCTCCAACTGTGCAAACTCACTTGTGATTGAATGTGTTTGGACAGCCGCTAAAAACCGCCTGCTCTCCTCTGCTGAACTTATTCATAAACCCAGCGGGACTCATAGTTGAAGTGCACTGGACAGAGATATCTAAACTTTGCTGTTGATAGGTTTTGTATTTGAGTCCAAAAAGGTCTGTTATATGCCCTTATATGTTATATACCGCTTTTTTTTTGCAAAAATAAATATGTATTTGACTGCAAGTTAGACTGTGTCACATCCCACAAGAACAAAACCATCTTAAGTTTGCGGATAACTCTGCAGTGATAGAACGCATCACTCGGGGAGATGAGGCAGCTTACAGGAGGAAGGTGGTCAGTCTAGTGACATGGTGTGAGGACAACAACCTCACTCTCAACACGCCAAGACTAAGGAAATGATAGTGGACATAAGGAGAGTGGAACTCATCAGCCACTGTTTATCTGTGAACTTGAAGTGGAAAGAGTGAGCAGTATTAAATACCTGGGGGTCCACATCAGTGAGGACCTCACCTGGACAATGAACACCACCCAGCTGGTCAAGAAAGCCCAACAGCGGCTGTACTTCTTAAGGAGGCTGGGGAAACTTGGTCTGTCATCTAAGATTCTCAGCAACTTCTACAGCTGTGCGGTTGATAGCATCCTGAACAGCTGTATTTACTGTGTCGTTTAGAAACACTACTATAAAGGGCCGCAAACGTCTGCAGAGAGAGGTGTGGACTGCAGAGAAGATCATCAGTACCCCACTGCCTTCTCTACAGACTATCTACCATGGCAGAGTCCACAAGAGAGCTAGCTGCCTCCATCCTATCTTTTTCCCATCAGCTATCTTTTTCCCATCAGCTATCAGACTTTTAAACGGATAACCAGTGGACATAAACAGTTTCATTTTTGTTTGCTCAGTAGCACACTATATTCTTCATCCCAGTTTGCACTATTAATGCATGCAATTGCACTCAATCTGCTCCGGCCATTATACTGTTGTTTGCACATGAGCCAATTGCACTAGGCACCTTTTGCATAATAAGCACAATTTTAAACAACTACTATACATTGTTTGCATCTGTTTACATCACTCCACAATCAGTATTATATATTATTTACATATATATATATATATATATATATATATACAGTTGAAGCCAGTATTATTAGCCTCACTTTGAATTTTTTTTTTTCTCTTTTTTAAATATTTTCCAAATGATGCTTGACAGAGCAAAGAATTTTTCACATTATGTCTGATAATATTTTTTCATCTGGAGAAAGTCTTATTTGTTTTAATTCAACTAGAATAAAAGCAGATAGCCTACAGAACAAACTATCGTTATACAATAACTTGCCTAATTCCCTTTAACTGCCTTGTTAACCTAATTAACCCAGTAAAGCCTTTAAATGTCACTTTAGGCTGTATAGAAGCGCCTTGAAAATATCTAGTAAAATACTATTTACTGTCATCATGGCAAAGATAAAATAAATCAGTTATAAAAAATAAGTTATTAAAACTATTATGTTTAGAAATGTGTTGAAAAAATCTGCTCTCCGTTAAATAGAAAACGGGGTAAAAAATAAACGGGGCTAATAATTCTGACTTCAACTGTACATTTCATAGTTTTACTTCTGTCACTTCTGTGTATATACAGTTGAAGTCAGAATTATTAGCCCCCCTTTGAATTTCTTTTTCTTTTTTTAATATTTCCCAAATTATATTTAACAGAGCAAGGACATTTTCACAGTATGTCTGATAATATTTTTTCTTCCAGAGAAAGTCTTATTTATTTTATTTCAGCTAGAATAAAAGCAGTTTTAAAAAAAAGACATTTTAAGGTTAAAATGATTAGCCCCTTTAAGCTATATATATTTTTTTCGACTGTTTACAGAACAAACCATCGTAATACAATAACTTGCCTAACTACCCCAATTAACCTAGATAAGCCTTTAAATGTCACTTTAAGCTGTATAGAAGTGTCTTGATAATTGTCTAGTAAAATATTATTTACTGTCATTATGGCAAAGATAAAATAAATCAGTTATTAGAAATTAATTATTTTAACTATTATGTTTAGAAATGTGTGCAATGTGAAAAAAATCTTTCCGTTAAACAGAAGTTGGGAAAAAATAAACAGGGGGGGGGGGGTAATAATTCAGGGCGGTTAATAATTCTGACTTCAACTGTATGTGTATACATGTGTATGCCGTGTATGATGTATATGTTATGTGCTTGACTTCACTGTGGAAGTAAGAATTTCATTGCACAGGGAAACGTGTTTCCACAAGTCTGGTCTTTACTTCTGCGTCAAGTAATCAGCGCGACCCACGGCGCATGCAAGGAGCATAGCTGCGCATTCATACTTCTGCACGCTGTTTCTGTATAATAACACTTCCGAAACGCTAGTTGGCAGTAGGTGTTTATGTTCCTCTGTGTCGAGTTTCTTTGCTGGTGTTTTGTTTTTTCTGAACGCTTCCTTAATGCATAAGTAATTTAAACTCGCTCATTTTGAGGCAGGAACCGGCTGACGTGCAACAACTTTGATCATAAGGTAAACACAAAACAAACCTTTCCATCTGGAGCTCCTTCATGGGACTCTGCACTTGTAAACAGTCTCTCCAATGGACGCAAGCTCTCGGTCCCGCCCACACTCGTCAGCACTACCAAGCCGACCAATCACAGAGCTTGCGCTACGCATTGTTGTGACCTGTAGTTACCATTTTATGAAAGGTGCGCGTCCACGCGTAGGCTGCGGCGTAGCATACGTGTGCGCCTGACGCAGAAGTATAAATCAGCCTTTACTGTGCACATGACAATAAACAAATTGAATTTAATTGTATTTTTTTAACATTTTTTAAATAAATAAACAGCAAATTTTAGACAGTGCCTGTTGGCTAGTGTTTTTCATAAGATATAACTTTTTTATGTGTATAGTCTTTAAAATGCTTTTAATAATTTATTCAATTTAAAATAACCTTCAGGAACACAAATTACACATCCGACTTCAAATGATGACTGATCTTTCACGTGATCAATTACTGATCCTTTCCATAATGTTTTTATCCAAAGACACCTAATTTATTATTTTCATTGTGCTAAACTATTTGTTAAACAATTTTTATAAAAACAAAAGCATATATGCATGTTAAAAATATAAAACAAAGCGTGTAAGCTTTAGGAGTTGATCAACAAAATAATGAATTAACTATAATTTAATTAGTCAAAGTATGAAGTAGCCTATTAGAAATGTATTTATTTTATTTTTTTATTTTGTAAATTGTTTTGTAAATTGTGCCACCTTTCACACTATTAGATTAAAATATCAGACTTAACCAACACCTGCCAACTGACCCTTCCTCATCAAAGTGGTTGAAAGTTGTCAAGAAACATCTAAGTCCCAGGTGTGAATGGTATTGTCTGTCTTTGGCCACTAGTGACCCGATCGACTAAAATCCAACCAAATACCATGTGAAAACAGCACCTATAATAATTTTTTACACTTTGATGCTGGATTTCAAAACTTCCACAGTAACTAGATCTTTCTACCTCAATTCACTTCTACAATTATATGCTGTATGTTCTTCCCAGTACAGCCTCTGAACAAGTGGCACCCTCTTGTTCCTTCACAATTAGCCAAAACCTTCACCCTCTCTGCTCCTCTGGTAACTGTATTTTATCTTTTTTCTCGGTTTTTAACCCTGTTCTTTTGCTTCCTTCCTAATATAGTATTGTCCTCATCTGTATTTTGCAAATATTACTATTTTTTGACAAGTTCCTTTGGTCAATTTTCCCTTAGTCGCTTTAAATAATAAATGTACATACCTAAAACAGTCAGGTTGAAGGTCTTGGTGCTGCTTCCGGCCTGGTTGCTGGCCACACAGCTGTAGAGACCTGCATCGCTGGGTCCCACATCAGACAGCAGGAAGCGGGTTTCCTGTCCGTCGAGCAGCAGATTGCGGTGCAGTGAGAGTGGCTGACCATCTTTCAGCCAGGAGAGCGTTGGAGGAGGGACACCACGAGCTTCACAGGTCAGAGTCACTGAAGAGCCCTGGACCACCGCCACCTGCTCAGTCGGCTCTGTTCGCTCCACAGCAGGGGGAGCTGATGAGGAAGAAAGACATGTGATTGACTGACTGAAAACATGAGGTTAACAATTGATTTGGACTACATTGTTAATTAAGGGGCCAAGCACTACAGGTGTGTAGGCATCTATTGTGTTCATTGGCGTTTTTACTATTATTATTATTCTTACGTTTCCATTTTTTCTTCTGCCAGATTTGAATGGCAGCCTATATAACCGTATGCAGGAAAGTTGTATAATTTCTCTATCATATAAGAATGATAGAGAGCAGTGTCATCATGATCTACAGGGAACCTGAAGTCTCAATCTCAAACTCTCTAGCGCCTCCACCTGTCCAAATTTTCACTCATGTTTATCATTATAACTTCTGGACCGAATGGGCTACAGTCAAAATTAATGTTTCCTCTGAATCCTTGGCTCAAACTGATTCAAATACGTCATCATCGGCATGAAATTTTTTTTTGACTATTTTAATATTTTTTTTAAAGTTATTTGATTGAACTCATCTTAGGCCGTTTATCTAATTTTGACCAAAATTGAACCTGATCTACAGACCATGCTGACCAAAAGTTATGAAAATCAAGTTGATTAGACAAACTGTTGTCATGTAACTTGTGAACAAATCTAATGAAGAGCTTGAGAAAATGGACTTCAGGCAATATCTCTTTAACGCATTGACATATTCACACTAAACTTGGTGTGTGTTATGACAACCGTGGATTGAGGTTATCTGCAGCATTTCAGTGCACTGCCCCTAGTAAACCGGAAATACAAAAAATATATATTTTTTTCTTTTATCTTCACAACCCTTCGTCCAAAACTTATATAACTGGTCTCTTCAATCTGACAGAGCATGTCGAGTCGAATGATGTCCAAATTTCCCTGGTCAGAGATTTTGGGCATCGCCCATTTAGATTTTTCAAAAAAATGCTACATTTCACAAACATATTCACGCATCATCCGCTTGTTAAGTGTGACGTCAAGCGAAGCGCCTTCCGGGTCCAAGCACTCTATTCAACTGAATGGTGAGACTCGTGAAATGGTAATAATAAACGTTTACAAAGCAATTTAATGCTTTCGAAAATCACGATCGCAGTATATATGTCCATGCCTAATATCCGATGGCCAGAAAGTGATAAATTTTTTTATAAATTGCAAAATTTTAGGTATTTGTTATGCAGCAAGCCAAGATATTGTTGTGTACACTATGATTTTATATAAAATTAACTTTAATGTGTGATAGGAATAAAACGTGATCATAAACAAATGATTTCTCCACTCAAATGAATGGCGGCTTGGACCCGGAAACAGTATTACATACGTCACAAACATGTCACCACTTAACAAGCGGATTACAAAACACGGTATGCTTTTTTGACACCATGCCATAAAGATACTCAAAAACTTCTGGAGCAGCGCCATCTTGTGGCCAAAAGTTATAAGCAATTTTTGAAAAAGTTTTTTTAAACATTCTTCATTGATATGACATGTGTCTTGTTATATTCCCTGGATCACTTACTGAGACCATTGATACCAAATATGATAAAATCAACTAAGCTTCCTGTCACCCCAGGTGGGTCCCACGCGGGCCGACCAAGGTGGGGCTCACGCGGGCCGACCCAGGTGGGGTCCATGCGGGCCAGCCCAGGTGGGGCCCACGCTAGTTATGAAAATTATGAAATTCATGTTGATTCAACATACCATTTAACTTACATAAAAATCTAACGTAGAGCTTGCAAAAAGGGACCTGAAGCGATATCTCTGTAAGGCATTGACGTATTCACACCAAATTTTGTGTGTGTTATGACAACTATAGTCTGAGGTTACCTGCAGCATTTCGGTGCACTGCCTACCAGTGGTCCAGAGATAACGTCTCAACCCCTTGTCCAAAACTCATAAAGCTGGTCTCTTCACATGACAGAGCATGCTGAAAGATTTCTGATTTTTCCAAGTCATTTCTTTTTTGGCATTGCCCATTTAGATTTTTTTTCAAAAAATACTGTATTTTGCAAACATTCATGTATGATTACAAAACAATATATATATATATATATATATATATATATATGCACTAAATACTGCAATAAAATTACTAAAATTACTGTAAAAGTGTGAGTTATAAAAAACTGAATAATAAAAATCTTTGTGGTTTAAATTTGTACTTTTTAAACCATAACTCATTAAGCTTTTATTTTGCAATATATATATATATATTAGGGATGTGCGGAGCAGCCGGTATTTGTATTTGTATTTGTATTTGTTGAGGGGGGAAAAGTATTTGTATTTGTATTTGTATTCGAGTAAAATTCAAAATGGCGCAAAAATCTATAATTTTTCTATTACACTTCTGATTTACATTATAGTGAAAGTATTGTTTAATTATACCCATTATATAAATTATAGACATGCAATTTTGGTTGTTGTTTTTGAACATGTGATAAGAAATGTCATTGAAAAGAAAATAACATAGAAGGCATTATCTCATCCATGGTTAAACCAACAACTAATAAAATACCATTGTGAATATTATGAACCCCACCACCACTGTTCTTGTTGAAGGACACTGAATAGACAGAATAAAAACAAATAATACTTCAAAAAACTGTTCTTCTTCTGAAAGAACTTCTTTCCAATGCACAGAATTCCAAAAACTAATATTAACTAAATAAATCTAAACAAACCCTTCCTGGGAGATCTGGCAGAACAAAAGTATTCTATATAATACTAAAAGATACAGCCCTGCTATTGTCATCTGCCTGCCACAAAACAGACACAAAGTTTGTTTGTTTTTTTTGTTTTTTATGTTTGAAACTGACTTACTGGGGCAGAATGTGGCTGTGTTGATGGTTTGGTGCTTGTGGAGGATTTAGCAGAACATAGCTGTGCTGATTGAGGGGATTGATGCTTGTGGGGGGTTCACAGACAGTATCAGGAGAGGATGCTTTTAGTGCATGTGATAATACATTACATAGAAGGTTGCGCAGTGGCACAGTGAGTACCACTGTCGCCTCACAGCAAGAAGGTTGCTGGTTCGAGCCATGACTGGGTTCTCCCCATGTTGGCGTGGGTTTCCTTCGGGTGCTCCGGTTTCCCCCACAGTCCAAACACATGCAATACAGGTGAATTAAGTAAGCTAAATTGTCCCTATTGTGTGTGTGTGAAAGAGAGTGTATGGATGTTTCTCAGTGCTGGGTAGCAGCTGGAAGGGCAGCCACTGCGTAAATCATATGCTGGATAAATTGGTGGTTCATTCCACTGTGGCAACTCCAGATTGATAAAGGAACTTAGCCGAAAAGAAATGAATGATAATGCATAGGAGATATTGACAGATGTTTAATATCTCTGCCGATTTCACTTTTGCACACATTATAACGTTACAGTATCAGTTTGTTTTATCTGCAGCTCCACAGACTGTAAAATTCTTCCACAAAGAACATGTTTTTTTTTTCTTTTTTGACTGGTGGAGGACCAAGAAATGGCTCAGAAGCAGTCTCACTCTTTTTCTATTCGGGTGCCCAAATGTATTTGAGGAGTTTCAAGTTAATAAAAAGTGACGGGAAGCTATGCTAAGGTTAACTAGCCTATAGCATATATCTTGCTGTCTGCAAAAGACAGTAATGTAGACGTACCATATAACTCCCATAAGTGCATACTATTCGACACAACAGCACAAGCATCATTTTAACCTTTATAAACGAACGTTAATTTTACTCTGTCAACAGTCTATTGTCTAAATTACCACGCTAACAGAGCTAACGTTGCGTAAACAGAGCACCCGGTTGCAAACTTCCCGATCCCGATCAAACTCCGCTACAAGCTTATAAACTGCATCTGGAACCCAATTAAGGTACAAAAATCTATTTAACAAAAATAGTGATGCAGATAAGATTTTTTTTCGCTCAGCCGAGCCTTCTCTGTCTGTATCTGTGGAGAAGATTGTGCCAGACACCTCCGACTGAGCGTCTCACTCGCTCTCTCTCTCTCTCTCTCTCTCTCTCTCTCTCTCTCTCTCTCTCAGTTTCAGTTTCAGTTTAAGTTGCTTTATTGGCATGACATTAAATACAGTATTGCCAAAGCATTTCAAATATGAAACATATTAAAACCATTGAAAATAATAATTAATAGTAATACAGATAAGATATAATGACACACAAAAAAGAAAAGAAAAAATACATTTGATAAATAAAATAATAATAGTAAAAAGTTTAAATTATTTAAATAAGACACAAATTTACATTAACCATTTCTTATGGTGTGTAGGGTGTATACATATTTTGCAGCCAGTTCAAATGTCAATTCGTCCTCTCCGAGTATATGGTAAAGTTTTTCTGAGTCATTTAAATTAAAAAATGAACTGATCAATGTTTCAAATTGGGGGAAAAATATTTCTCTAGTCGTGCTGTATTTGGGGCAGAACACTCACTCACTCACTCACTCACTCACTCACTCACTCACGCGGGCATGCACTGTGGTCTCATGAGGAAACGCTGCTTTTTGATATAGTGTTTTTCTTGCTCCCGAATACAAATATTTTTTCAAGTATTTGTTCGAAATAAGTATTCGTAAAAACACGCTATTCGTGCCTTTCCGAATACCGTATTCGGGTTCGGCTCCACCCTTAATATATATATATATATTTTTTTACATATTTAATAAGTGCTCCTAATGTACCTTGCACTTGGAGGTCAAAGTTGAGTTCAGCTAATCCAGCTCGACTGCGTGCAACACAAGTGTAGATGCCAGAATCAGACAGATGCACCGGTGAAATTCTGCATTCACAGAAGAAGACAGGACAACATCAAAATAATGTCACATCTATTCTATCAAAGTATAAAGGCTCGTACACACCGGGACACTTTTCACTCGTCAGCATTTTTCAAGTTTTTCTGCATTCAAACATGGGCGATGTTCATCGGCGATAAGCAGTGTAAAAGTGCAAAATCACCCCCTGACATTAGATGGCGCTTAATAAAATTACAAGTCATGAAAGAAAAGTGAAATGAAACTCAATTACCATCAAATCCTATTTGTTTCTCTTCACTCCTACTGACTTTATTGTAGTTGCTGTTAGGCTTATCCTACAGCTCTTTGTGTTCAGACACCATTGAAAAAAGCAGCTCCACATTCATCTTGCCTAGGTGCATAGATATATACACTAGATATCGCATAGGGACCCTGAGCATGCGTCAATAGCGCCGCCACATTGGTACAGTGCTCCCAGGACAAATGTCCTTCAACCGCACTAGTCAACACAGTGTTATTATGTGAAGATGCGGGACTTTAGCGCTGTCTACGGGTGTAGTAACGAGCAAACAAAGAAAACAAAGCACAAAGGCAAAACATTTCATAGGTAATATTAAGTTTTTTTCTGTTTTTGTATGTTCTGAACTTTTGTGCTAATCAGGTAATGTTATTGATGATAACAGTCACTTACTGCATTCACCATAAGGCAAAGCAGCTCCAACTCGCACTAAACACTCGGCTTATGCTAGTTTTGTTGAATAAAATCAGCAAAAAATGCAAAGGAAATATGACAACGAAATGCTGCGCTGCCAGAAACTTGTATTATTGTCGGCTAACGCCGACAATTACACTATAGTGAAAGAGTCGTTCGGGGGATTCATTCACAAAACGAATCGCTCCCTCCGTCAGTATGAGAAGTGAAAGCAGGAGAGGAGGTGTGTTTCAGGACATGGTTAGATCAAATTTAACAGGGAGGGTGAATAGTACATTTCTGTACACACAAACACAAGCTTTTTGTCAGGAATGCCCGTGCGGTCACTGATCCATTAATGTAGAAAAGTGATGTAAAATTATAATTTTCGTAATTAGAAAAAAAAAATTACATACTAGCATCCAGGAAAACTCCCGATCATAGATATATGTGTATATGTGTATATCTCTGGCTTTGGATAGCCACAGTCCTCCACTGTACCTTGGTCCCGCATTCATTTCAAAGGAGCGCTACCCTGTAGCAAGATGGCGGCGCTATTGACGCATTCCGTCCAATAGACAACAATAGGCCAGGCGACATCTAATGTATATATCTATGGCCTAGGTGCATCTTTTTCTTCTTTACTGAATGAAAGTGGGATTGTGTTCACCTTGATTTGTTTTGCACTTGAGCGCCTCCATGTGGTGTTTACTGTAACTTCAGCAGCTCCAGGCACAAAAGTGCCAATCTAATTGGTTGAGAATTTTTAGACGCAGTGTCAAAACAAAAAAACGAGCATGAGACATTTATTTTAAAAATGACGCTCTTACGACTAGCGTTTTGCGTGGTCACATTGGTGACCATTGCTTTATCACGAGGCGTTAAACTTCAATGAAAAACGCGAGCAAAAAGCATCTCGATGTGAACAGGCCTTAACACTGCGGTGTGCAAAACAGACCTCAGAGTTGAATCTGCAGAGAGCAGACGGATGCGTGGAGACAGGAGCAAAGGATGACCGTCTCTCAGCCAGCTGATTTGAGGTTGTGGAGTCCCCTTGGCTTTGCACTCCAGTGTGACCACACTGTGCTGGGTGGTGTGAACCTCACGGGGGACACTGGTCTCCCCACTTATGGAGGGAGGAACTGTAAAGCCAAAAATATGAAAAACAGATTTCTGTGCTAAATGACACCCTAACAGATTTGTCAAAAAAACAAAACAATCATCTCACTTGCTTTCAATGGGATCCTATAGATCACAATCTGTGCAAATCTGGTCAGTTGGTTTTACTTTAGATTAGTCCATACTAAAGCCAAAACTTTAACTTATATTATAAGATTTTATAACTTAACTTAAATGTCTTGTAAAGTGCTTTGTAATGTGCATTTTTGTTCAATGTGTAATTTAATTTAAACTCAAAAAGGGAGGGACATAGAGTAGAACCTCCCCCTTAAACAAAACAGTCAATAGCATTTTGTTTCTACCACAGTTGTGCCATTGAGAGCTGCTAAACTCAAGCACATATTGTAAAAGAGTTTTAAAGGTGGAGGAACATTCAATTGTATTAAAAAGTTCAACAAACAGAAAAATCTAGAAGGTAAAACATTAAATTATTTTAAAAAGATTTTTTTTGTAGTTTTTTTTTGAACACCTCATTGGAATTTAAATATTTAATTGATCTTATCCTAAAAATGTTAGGTGACCACATACTTACATTGATGAATATAATGATTTAATCAAAAAGTTTTCTAAACATGCACCACTATATGTAAATTGTCCATATTTACTGAGAAGGGGATAAAATATTAATTTTTAAAGCAGTTGTACTCATATATTAATGACCATTTAAAAGCTGCTCTTACCCAATGCAAACAGGGTATAGATCTTGGTTTCCTGGCCAGCGGAGCTGACAGCCAGACAGGTGTATGTTCCTGAGTCCTCTGGTTTTACACTCAGAAATGTTAGAGTGCTCCCATCTGGAGAGATACTGCAACACATGCACATATCAGCAAATCAACTATGAATAGTAGATATAACAATAGGGCAGAAATAAAAGAACAGAAATTGTAAATAATAAATAAAACATATACATCTCTCTTTCAAGATCTAAATATTACATATACAATGGGAGAAATAAGTATTCAACACATCAAGTTTTGTTTTGTTTTTCTGGGGAAAATATTCTAAAGGAGCTGTTGACATGGTATTGGACCAGACTTTGGTATAAACCAAAACAATACAAACATCAAAATAAAATAAAAAACTAAAAAAAAATGTTATGTGTGATAACAAAGGAGTGACTCAAGGAAAAAGTACTGAACTACTGAAATGTATTTAATAATGACAGCTTAAAGACACCTCTCATATGGAGAATGAGGTCACATGTATTGCTCAGGTGTGATTTTTTTCACAGACTTCAACAGAGTGTAAAAATCTTTATGGTTCTGTGGGTCTCGTGTGTCAAGCCTGATCTTTAATTTGTATTTTGTATTGAATTCAAGTCAGGCGATTTACTGGGCCATTCTACAGCTTGATTTTCTTCTCTGAAACCGTTTCAGAATTTCCTTGGCTGTGTTTTGGTCTTGCTGAAATGTCCACACTGGTTTCATCTTCATCATCCTGTTTCATCTTCATCATCCATTTAGATGTTGGACCGAAGCAGCTGATACTAATTTACAATGTCAAAGGGCAGAGGGTGGCTGAATAACTTCTGAGAGATTTAAAATTTTAGATTTCAGCTGCTGCTTTCACTGCTTTTTACACCTCCCTTTCTTCATGTGTTCAATACTTTTTTCCTGAGTAATTTTATTTTAATAATGTATTCTTTGCATGTATGAATTTCTTTTGTTGTTACCAATGTCTGGAGAAAATTTCGAGTCAACATTACCTTAAGAAATATGTTTCCTGGGGAAAATGGTGTAAATTTAAATATAAAAAAACATATATATTTACAAATTGTAAAAACAAATCATAAAAAAAAAAATACTGTAGTGAAAGTTGAACAAAATTTTTATTAATATCATATTTAAAAAAGAATTGTTAATGATAAATGTGTTAAAATTATTATCTTATCTTATCTTATATTGTATTGTATTGTATTGTATTGTATTGTATTGTATTGTATTATATTATATTATATTATATTATATTATATTATATTATATTTTATTATATTATATTATATTATATTATATTATATTATATTATATTATATTATATTATATTATATTATATTATATTATATTATTTTATATTATATTATATTATTTTATATTATATTATGAAATTAAACAATCGGTGTGAAAGTCTTACTTTATGTGCTCTGTGTTTCCATTCACCAGAGTCTTTCCGTTCCTCAGCCAGCTCACTTTAGGAGCAGGTGAACCCATCGCCCGACATTCAAGAGCCAGCTCCTCCCCGACAGGTGCACTGACTTCTGATGGGTGGCCAGAATCTATAATGCTGGGTGGTGCTGAGGGTGCCAAATACAGAGTTTTACAAATCAAGAAACAAGACTGAGACTACCTGATGCTGAGATTAGCGATTAAGCCAGTTTTACCATATATAGTAAGTGAGTAGTCTTTCTGAGTCTGTCCTTCAGTGTTTTTGGCTATGCAGGTGTAAGTGCCCGCATGAGAGAGCTGCAGAGGGCCCAACTCCAGTCTGTTAGCTCTCGTTGACCAGTTCCACTGCAGACTGCTTTCTACAAATCAACAAACAACTGTAAGAAACAACACAAAATCAGTCAGATGCAGCCCTGTAGTATTTAACTGACCAATAGGACTGCCGTCTTTCAACCAGGCAATATTGGGTACAGGTATGCCAGAGGCCTCACAGATAAGAGTGATGTGGGAGCCCAGGTTCTGAGTGAGAGTCTCATGAAGAGGACCCTCCATCACAGGAGGCACTGAAAGCAAATGTTAGCAAAAACTTTAATAAGAAATGGAGAATGTTTGAATGAATCCTGCTCTTTTCATTAGACTCACCATGGACTGTTACTCTGAAGGTGCGATCTACTTGACCTGCAATGTTGGAAACCTTACAGGTGTAAACACCACCATCAGCCACCTAAGAAAAAAGGTTGAAAACACAGAGACAAACAAATTAGGTTGAAATTAGGGTTGTCCATGTTAAAACATTAATGAATATGATTATTGTGATTATGATTATTATTTTGCACAAACACCTAGCTATAAATTATTAATCCAGAGAAACTGAGAACTTTAAAAAAATAAATATATGTTTGTTGGCAGTGTAAGTGCTTACATTTAAAACATACAAGTCCTTCAGTTACCATCATTTTTTTGAAGACAGACAGACAGACAGACAGACAGACAGACAGACAGACAGACAGACAGACAGACAGACAGACAGACAGACAGACAGACAGACAGACAGACAGACAGACAGACAGATAGATAGATAGATAGATAGATAGATAGATAGATAGATAGATAGATAGATAGATAGATAGATAGATAGATAGATAGATAGATAGATAGATAGATAGATAGATAGATAGATAGATAGATAGATAGATGTTTAGTTCTTTGCTTTGGCGCCAGTCTAGTTCCTTTCCCCCCTGTACCTTTTGGTTTGATTATATTTTTGTATTTGCTTCTATTTATTTTCAAATGCACTGTACAAAGCTCATACATGCTCTTTTGTTGGCTTTATGATTTTTCTTATAGAGGAATAAACCAATTAGGCGTTAAGATTGTCTGTCCTTGCTTATCTTGCTTATTTCCAGCTATTTTCTTCAGTAATAATATAATTTTCTAAATATAATGTTTTCTCTCCCGAGACAACTTATTAAATCGGAACATGGACATAGAAATTAATTCAGCACACAAACTCGCACAGTGCATTATGGATCTAGTGTTGTATGCATATCAGTTGTATAGCAGTCATTATTGTGGTTCATTGTTTGAGTGCCCTTCAAAAAGTCAGACATAATTTTTAAATAGTGGTATTATAATGATATAATTGCCGATTTCAGATACAGCCTTAGTTTTCCAGAACTTTCTTACTTGCACTCCTACTATCTCCAGCTGCTGCCGCTCTATCCTTAATCCATTCCCAGCTGCCAGTTGAAGTCCATTACGATACCATGTGACCTCTGGTTTAGGGATGCCATTGGCTTCACAGCGCAGAATGAGCGTCGACCCGACCAGAGGCGTCCTGACTTCAGACTCTGATTCAAGACGAGGCACCAGTGCAGGCAAAGCTAAAAAAAGGGCAAACCAAAGCATGATAAGTGCTATATTGGTCTGCTAAAGCAATTAATACTCCCAAAACACATGCAATGCACTAACCATAGATAGTAAGTAGAATGCTCTTTTGGTCTTGTCCAGCTGAATTTGTAGCTGTACAGACATATTGTCCAGCATCTTGCTGTCCTGCCCGAGGAATCTGCAGCATCTGACCTCCTTTGGACAGGATGATGCCACATTACATACATGAACACACACACACACTTCATGGAGCATTATATATAAACAGATTGCAGTTCACCTGGCAGTATGTGGATGCCAGTGGTGAACTCCAGCATCTGCCCGTCTTTGGTCCAGATGATGTCAGCGGGTGGGTACGCCTGGACATCACACAGCAGAGAGATCATATGGCCCTCCACCACACTCATTTCTTCTTCTCGGCGGCCCACAATCCTCGGTGGAACTAAGAGAAATGACGTTGATGTGAAATTTTTTTTTAAATAGGCTCATTTAACAAGTCATCTAGAGTTAAACACTCAAGTTTTACCTGTTTTTAAACCATTTAGCAGGTTTGGCAGGAGCATGTTTAGCTTAGCTTAGTTTAGCATAAATCGTTGGATTGATTTAGACCATTAGCATTTTGCTAAAAAATGTTTAAAAAGCTGCCATATTATGGGTGCAGAAGGCACAATGAAATGATGCAGTGGCTGAAGTAGTCTGCAGCTAAGTAACTAGGTAAGAGTGCTGCTTAATATGACTGAATCTGCTGCAGCCATGGTATGACAGCAAAGTTCATTGATTATTGTGCTGGAATGAGATATTTCCTAGTCATAATTGCCTAGATTATAGCCACCTTTCATTTGCCATCAGTTTTAATACACTATGTAACTTTAAAAATTAACTTTTGCTAATTTATTAAGTTAAAAGTGCTCCGAGCAGAAATTGGTAATGCTCAACTGTTTACCTCCAGGTAAGCTGTAAAATATTCTTATTTCCAAAAAGCTGGGGGGTTCCTTTAATGTCTTGAAAAAAGGTCTAGATAGACAATTCTGTTTTTTTACATTAGATTTATATATTAAACAACATAAATTAAAATAAATGATGCTCATATTTCATGTAAAATGTCCTGATCAAATGGAATCCTGATCAAAATACAGAGATTGCACTTTAAATGGCTACAGTTCAATGTCAAACAGAGCAAATAATAATAACATTTTTAAAGTAGGCTACTTATATTTTACTTCAAAAATAATAATATAAATATAATAAAATAAACTAAACAAATATACATTAAAGTATATAAGAATCAGCTCAAATAATCTGCTTTCAGAAACTGTTTTCAGATTTCAGTGACTGCGTAAACTCTGTCAGTTGCTCTTACCTTGAATAGACAAGCTGTAAAGTCTCTCGACAGCTCCAGCTTTATTCTCTGCCACACACTGATAACTGGCTCCATCTGACACCTGCACATTCACAATCTACAAACAACAAAACATGAGTTACACAAGATATGACACGTTCAATTTATATACAAGATTTGACTTTATATACAAAAACACTCTATTACCCTTATGTATTTAATTCAAAATATTATCACTAAATAAATTATTCATTATATGTGAACCTGGACCAAAAAAAACATTGAGATTTACAGATCACCTAAAAGCAGAATAAATAAGCTTTCCATTAGTGTACTGTATGATTTGTTTTGATAATTATAAGAATTATTATGAGGACTATTTGAATATGAGGGAATCAATATATAATAAATAATAAATAATTATAATAAATATATATATTTATTGAGAAAATGTACTTTAAATTATCAAAATTAAGCTGTTAGCAATTTATATTAGGCAACTGAAAGGCAAGTTTTAATACTTATGGAAGAAAATTTACAAGTAATTTTCATTGAATATGATCAGTACTTAATATTCCAATGATTTTTGACATTTAAAAAATCTAAAATTTTTACTCATTCAATGTGTTTTTGGATTTTTCCACATTTTCTCCCAAGGAAACATAAGACATAAGAACAGGGGTATCCGGCCCCCAACTGACGTCAAAAATATAACGAGATATTTTTGAACCTCTATTATGTTGTGCAGTCATGTCTAACCATCTGTGGTTTTAACCCGCCATCTAGTTGACATCCAGTAACACACATGCGTTTTAATTCTGGGGCTGATCCAAACATTAAAATATATGTCCATAAGTGCTCTATTTTTGTAAATATTCATGGGTTGTTTGATTATCATCAGTTTTACGACACTTGTATTTTTTGTTGTACAAAAGTCTGAAGGGGTTAAATAAGATTTGTGTGCATATTTTTCTTTAGATAATGACAATTGATCAGAATAACAAATGTACTGTGTTTAAGCTGTGTTAAGTTGTGACTGAAAATCTGGGTTAGTCCACTTCCAAAGTTAAAACATTGGCATATAGATATACACCAATGGTATATAAATAAATATATAGTACACATATATCATTTTGAAATTGTCTAAGAAATTCAGTAAAACAAAAGAAAACTGTTTTAAAGAGGTCTTTTTTTCCTGTATAATATTTTAGCTGTATAGAAATGTGCATTAAAACTGTTTTTCTTTTATGCAAACCATTATACTTTTAATTACAATGACAGAAAAATTTTTCTATTCTTTCAACCTCTTTAGTACAGATATATTGTGTCATATTGTATTCCATTATGAAAAATTCAGCAATTATCATGCTATGCAAATGTAATGGTACCACAAGTCAACATCCAATTAAAGACAATTGGGGCAAAAACTTGTGTGTTCTCTATGCTCATAGGCATCACCTCCAGCAGTTTTCCATCCTCCAGTATGTTATGGCGAGAGTCGCTGTAGAGAGGCAGACCATCCTTTATCCAGGACACAGATGGAGAGGGGTGTCCCGAGACATCACAGCGCAGTGAAACAGTGGAGTTCACCACAGTATCTACATCCTGCATGAACTCATCAGTCTGGCCAGAAATCACTGGAGGAACTGCATAAAATGAAAAGATCCTTCATTAAGAATACTGACAAACACTGTTCATAAATCACTGAATGCCATAAATACAGTATGTGGCTGCCTGATTTTCCTCCTTACCCAACACCTCCAGGTCATAATGCATTTTGTCTTCTCCAGCTTCATTCACAGCCTGGCAGGTGTACTTCCCAGCATCCTCAAGCTGTACTCGTGGGATCTGCAAGATGTGCCCTCCTAAAGAAAAACACATAAATTAGCAAACAAATGCAACTATATATTATATTTTTATATATATTTTTTTAAATTTATATTTAGTTTCATCTTTGCAAGTCCAAAGTCGGAAAAGGGTGTGTATATATATTCATACTCCAGGCCAATTCTGATTTATTTCTGTTCCACTTTTTGTTCAAAGGTAAATAAAAGCTGAGAAATAAATATACTTTTCCACAATGGTGCCTCTTTCACATCTTTGTTGGTTGAATAAATGTATATATATAATATTTAATTTTAATATAATTTTCATTTAATATAATGTGTTATTTTAAACTTATACTTTGCTTTAAACCACTATACCCATATTCACCTTCAACCACTAATATGATTTTTTATTAATTAAATCTTTTTATAAATTAAATTTGATACACACACACATACAAATTATATGGAATTCAACTGTCTTTTGCACACACATAAAACATATACACTATATTTAAAACATTTGTTGTTAATTTAATTTAATTTAATTTAAAGCCCTTTTTAAACAAAAATAATGTTTGTATTCAGCTATGACAAAGACTATAGAATACACAAGACATGTCACTCATATACTTTTGAATAGGGAAAAGTGTAACTGTCAGTATGGCAAATGAAGCCCCGCCTTCTAGTACAGGAGCTAATCAGTGATCGCTATATGGTGACTAAAGCCCGCCTTCTAGTACAGAAGCCAATCAGCGATTGCTATAGAATGACAATTTCCCTTAAAGTGACTTTGGCTATGATAAATTAATTATACATGATAATAAAAACTAAATGTTTTCTGAGCAGCAAGTAAGTATAAAGGACATATCATATAAGTATAAGTGTGACAATGCAGACTGTAACATAACGATACTGAAAATTATCATCACAGAAATATTTTACAAAAATAAATGACACATTAAATGTATAAAAATAGAAAACAATTACTTTCAACTGTAAGAATATTTACTCTTTATTTTACTGTCTGACCAAATACATCCAATGTTGGTGAGCATAAAAAATAAAAAAAAGGAATACACTATTTGACTAACTGAAACTATATATACTATATTTATCGTCTCCACTCACCAGGCGCAAGCACAACTCCGTCTGAGCTGGTAAGTTGTCTGCCTTGTCTGTACCAACTGAGTCGAGGAGGAGGAATGGCATTGCTCTCACAGGAAAGACTGATGGAGTGGCCTAGCAACACCTCTCGCCTCTCAACCATCCCGTCAGGTGAGTCTGGATCTTCTTCATCGCCCTCTCTCTCTCCCAGTGTAAAATCAGCAGCACCATTTATTACTCTGTGAAATACTGGTGGAACTGAGGAGGTAGTGGAAGAGGTCATGGAAAAGATAAATATTAAAATAAAAACAAAGCAGTAAAAACAGAAGCTCATGTCTGTATAAGAGCCACTGACCCTGTATAGTGAGGTGGAAGTCTCTCTTGTCCTCTCCAGCAGAGTTAGAGACCACACATGTGTACTGGCCCTCATGGGACAACATGGCATTATCAACATGGAGCATGTGACTGTTCACGCTCAAGCCGCTGTGTGTATTTCCATTCAACAGCTGTAGAACACAAATTACAGAATGATTTAATAATGCATTTTTAATTCATTAATCCTTAAATATTAATTAGATACAGGTGTTTTCAGGCCAAACTGCTTCATGGACATTTGGTCATTATTTTAATCATCCACAGTAAGTGCATGGTCTTAAGTGCACAGCTTAAGTGAATTTAGAACTGAAAGTCTGAATCCACCTTTGCTATTTTAAGAACTAAAAAATGGTTGGCACTCAGAGTGCATGGTCTAAAAGGGTTGTCCATACTCTTTTAATGAGCTACTGTATGGATGTAATGTGCATCAAACCAATTTCATCTTCAATTCCTATTAAGAGTGAGTTTTGGTTGTGCCATTGCAGATTTGTTATTTACATGGTGAATTTTGACAGCTGAAAAACAGAACACTTCACTAGTAAATAAACAGATCTTATATGCTTATATATGCTGAGCACTGTATATTGTTTACTCAGAGTGTTTACATGCTATTGCATGTTTTTGTTACATGCTTTTGCAGCTGGGCATTGCTTTACAATGACCTTAATGGGTGAACATTAGCCATTGGGCGAGTGTCTTTTGTCTTTCCAGGTGTGAATTATTCCTGACCATTGTCACTCCTACGCATACAGCTGAGATTACCCAAAATAGACTTATAAAATGTAAAATATTACTTAAAGACTTGTAATGTAAATCATTGTAATGCTTTCTTTGAATGAGAGAACAAAAGTATTTTAACATAGTTGTGAAGTAAATATTCTAGTCTAAAAGACTGGTTACTCAAAAGTCTTGTTCAGGCCCATTCAGTGTGGTTTCTTGCACTTACATTTTTTTTCAGCTGAAATTTTGTTTGCTGAATAACTGAACGCTTCACTAGTAAATAAACAGGTCTGCACCGACGTGAAATAGTGACCCTGAAGAGTGCTAGAGATTAAATAAAGAACTGACCATCTACTGAGCAAGCCGGTTTCCACTAAAGCCCCCTGAGGTGAAGCTGTGGGAGGGATAAATTTGATACAAGCAAGGACTATCCTTTATGACATGTTGGCACTTTCTATTCATGTAGACTATAATAATGTTTTACATTTCAATTCTTTAATTTTTCATATTAAAAAGGTGTTTGTGTGCTGCATCACATCCCGGTCTGTATAATAAGCAAAGTGTTCTAAAACTGTAGACCAGGCACATAAAAGTAAAATATAATTAAAAAAAAATGCAGATCTGTTTTTGATTGCCACTGTTTAATTTGCAGAGATGTGCAGTGGCTATTTGGGCTTTGATAATGTGTAACTATTTTCATTGAAGGAAAAAAAATGGCAAAGCAATTGTCATTATTGACCCCAAATAATGACATGTCCCCCAGTTTTGTGGTAATTCTGTGATCGCTGAATCCAATGCAAAATCAACAAAAAGTCACACAATTTTGCAATCCTGAAAAATGCTTCATTTAAACACAAAATAATTGCAAAAAAATTAAATAATCTCATAAAACATCCTATTCATAACCACATAATTAAATTATTTTATTTCAGTTGGCAATTAACAGTTTTACATGACTTAAAGACATTATTGCATATACATTGCATATGTCTCACCTGCGCCCTCACAATATTTTTTTTATCACATAATTGTCAGCATATTTATGGGAATTACCATCACAAAATAAGTATTTTTTTGTTGTTGCAAAAAATCACAATAAAATCGTGATAAACTAGGGGGTCTGATTATTGTAATATATGTGAAATATAAGTGGATTATACATTAGCATAGAGCCCCTGAAGATATCAATCCAAGTTTGTTTTCTATTATTAAGCCTTAACTATTAGGACTGGATGGGCAGACAAACTCATGAACAGTTGCCAAATCCAATATGAGACTCAAAATCAGGAAGTACTGTATGATCTAGTAATAGCAGCAACAGAAGAACTAAAGAGGCACAAACCTGCCCATCTTTAAACCACTGTGTGACAGGCTCTGGAAAGCCTTTGGCCAGGCACGACAGTGTTAACGTCCCATTAATTCTCACTTTCTCTTCTCTCCTGCCAAAACTGAGAATGGTAGAATCCCCCTCTATCTGTGGAGGAACTGAGAAAAGGGCACATCCTTAATCTTTGCCAAAACCACAAAGCTGTCAGCCATATAAATCAGGTTATCTTGCAAGCCTATTTACCCATAATTCTTAGTGTGTAATGTCTATGTGCTGTTCCAGCCGGATTGGTTGCTCGGCAGGTGTATGCGCCTGCATCTTCACCACGAGCCGCAGCCACACGCAAAGACTGTCCACCCTGTGTGTATGTGAGCTGAGGGCTGGACACTATGGGCTGGTTGTCCTTCAGCCAGGTGATAGTGGGAAGTGGAATCCCTTCAACTTCACAGTGAAGAACAGCCGGGAAGCCCAGAACTACAGTTACTTCTGAATCCTCACCAGAGTCACGGATCAATGGAGCAGCTGTGAGCACAGAGATTGGAGGCAAACTGAGTTAGAATGATGAAATTGGGTATTTTAAAAATTGGGAATTAAGAATTTCCATTTGAGCACAATCTGATTGTTGAATGAAAGACTCTTATGATTCATTTGTTTTTAGTAAATTATTATTACTACTGACAACTACTAGTGAATTTAGAATCAATGAGGAAGATTTTAGAATATATAAATATGTTGATGATTTGGCCTTGGTTGCCTGTTAGACAAAATAAACAGTTTGTAGCATTTGACCTACCCAGCCCACATTAAAGGCATAGTTGACACAAAACAATATATATATAATTACCTAATTTATTATCCCTTGTGTGGTTTTGTGGTAATTTTATTTTATTTCTTCTGTTAAACACAAAAGAAGATATTTAGAAAAATGGTGGTTGCTGGGACACATTCATTATGATGGCAAACAAATTACTAGGAACGCAGAATGAAAAACTAATTACTTTTTTTTCAAAAGAAGAAACTCAAATAGGTTTTGAACAAGTGAAGGATGGGTAAATGATGAAAGACTTCATTTATGGGTAAACTATCCCTTTAAGGTTCTTAAACTCTCAAAAAAAATGTTTTTGCTCGGTCAAACTACTCATTTAAAATAAGCTGAATCAACACAATTTTTGAGATTTCATTGGGACGACTTTATTTTTTTATGTTCATTCCACATAAATTTGTTAAAAGTGGTAAGTTTACTTAATCAACTTTTATTGGAAAAACATAAATAAATTGTGTGAAACCGTGTATTTTTACTGTAAACATGATGTTTTAGCAAACTAGAGATTAATGTTGCCATCACTAAAGAATTATTATGTTTAAAGAATATGGTGTGAACAAAAAGAAATTTGGAAAAAATATGTAAGTATCTTGCTCTGTTCAATTAGCTAAACAGCTTAGTGATCTTGGAGTTATACACTGCAAGCACACATGCGAATGTATGTACAGTATAAATCCATTGTGAAAAGGCAAGCCTCAGAACCAATTAATACAACTTTATTTAGAAAGGTGAAAGTTAGTTTGATCTTTGAAGATGGTCTAGAGTTCATCTAATAAAAATGTTTAAAAGTTCCTTTGTTCCAAATGCAATTAAAACAACTAATTCAGCAAGTGTCTAATCTAACGGTGTGGATTGCATGAACTGTATCTTTTTATTTGCTTTTATGTAATTTGTGTAATGTGTCTAATTATTTTTATTCTATTTAATTATGTGCCACTACTAATTTTGCTGTGCTACTGCACCAGAGGCAATTTTACGCTCATGTGGACAATAAAGTAAAACAAATACAAATATACAAAACTACTAAAGTAGGCCAATAATCAATGAATGGATTGTGTGCAGATTTTGCACAACCAGTGTATTTTGACTCCCATATATATATATATATATATATATATATATATATATATATATATATATATATATATATATATATATATATATATATATATATATATATATATATATATATATATATATATATATATATATATTTTTTTTTTTTTTTTTTTTGAAATTCAGTCTGTTTTGATCCTTGAATAATTTTCCTTGTATACTATTGTCTTTTCTACTTGAATAAAATTATTTGCATGATTCAGCCATACAGTGCAGCAAATCCAGTCCAAGTATATTAACAGAGCTCTTATCAGTAAATTAAAAACCTTCAGCTTATAGCATGATTCTTGAACAAATGACTGATGATTTTGATGCAGTATATTACTTTGTAGTTACTTGAAAAATAGTATACAACACAATTATTATGATTCTTGAAGGAATAACTATGCTTGACTGACCGTTGAGTGATTTTTATGTTTCGGCTCTTAAACAAATAATTCAAATGATTTTTAGAGAATTTAAAAACATTTAGCAAAACCTGTTTAATGTGGATTTTTGAACAAATATGTGTGAAAATTCCTTAGACACATAATTTGGAAGTTTATGGTTACAGGTTTCCAACATTCTTCCAAATATCTTCTTTTCTATCTATCTATCTTTACACCCCACAAAAAAAAGTGTAAATAACCTTACACTTGTTTGAAACAAAGTGAGTAAATGATGACAGAGTTGTTATTTTTGGCTGAACCTTTGAGGATTATTTTTTTCATGACAGTATTTTGCTGAGTATCCCTATGTGTTGGTAGCAGGTTTAATCATGTCATGGTGTAATACATAACATTATATTCACCAACAGGTTGTAATAACAGACCCTATAACCTATCAAACTGGATGGGAATGTGGAGACTAGAATTCATTATTAGTTCCATCCCAATGGCTTACCTTGTATGGTCAGCCTGAACTGTCTTGTCTGAGTCCCAGCGTTGTTTGTCGCCACACACTGATACAGGCCACGATCCCTAGGCCTGACAGACTTAACCCTCAACACCTGCCCCTTCTCCAGAAACTCCACATGAGGGTCTCCATTAGGGGATAAAACCCTGAGACACGAAGACCACAGATAAGTTCAGAAACTGAAAAAAGAAGAATTTAATTGTCTTTGTCATTGACTCACTCTCCATCATGAGTCCATTCCACTGAAGGCAGAGGACGACCACTGACTCTACACTGCATATCCACTTCCTGTCCCGCCATGATGGTCACTTCCTGCACTCCTGAAGTTCCCGATATTACTGGTGGAGCTAAATGAAGAGAAAAATACAATAAATTAGCATTTTTATTTTCTTATAAACTACAAACCAGTTCTTAACATAGAGTGAAACAGTTGGTAAAAACCAAAAAACCAAAAAAAAACAAAAAAAAAAAAAAAAACAAAGCCTATTATTTAGCTTAACAACACATTGTTCCATATACCTCAAGGTTACTTTAAATTACAGAGCTTGTCAATATTTCACCTTGTACTTCAATAGTGTACTCCCTCTTGGCTTCCCCAGCAGAGTTCTGGGCAGTGCAGGAGAAGCGGCCAGCGTGATCATGCTGAACACGATAAATCTTTAAAAGCCTTTTTCCATTCTGCAGATACACCCCTGGGGTCTCCAGTACCTAGAAGCACAGAACGAGTAAGTGATTTTCAAGAGTGGCAGCCAAGACTTGTGATAAATTTGATGGCCACTAGATGTCCCTATGTTACCAGTGCACTGTCCCATATTGACTGCATTGTTCAAAAAGAAACCAAAAACACAGCAAAGCTAAACAGAGAAAACCACAACAAAGCAAAACAAAAAAATTGAAGAAAAATACAGAAATAACAAGCAAAATAAAATAAAAAGTTAAGAAAAGACAAGAAATAAAAGGAAACAACAACAACAAAGTAAAACAAAATAAACAATCAAAGCAAATCCAAACAGAATATTGCAGTGCAAAGCAAAACAAAACAAAAATGTATCAAAATTAAAAAGCAAAGTAAAGCAAATAATAACAAAACACCAACAAAAACAACAACAATAATAATAAGCAAAAACAAAACAAAGGGAAAAAACATCACAAAAAGCCAAAGCAAGACATGGAAAAACTGATGAAAGAAAACAAAGCCAGGCAAAACAAAAAAAAATAAACAAAGCTAAACATCCCAAAGCAAATAAAATCAATGATAAAAAAAGTAGTTTTCCAACAGTATTACAGGGTTCTCTAAATATAAAATTTTCATTGAGCAGATGGACACTTTTTTTTTTTTTTACAGTTTGCTGTGTTTGTTCAAACTTCCTGCTATTACATTGACATGACTAGTATATGCAAAATAAGTAGGTACATGGATAATAATCCGGATGAAATACAGTCAACGGGTCATTTTTAACCTTACATGAAGGAGCTTTGCACTGGTTTTTATGATCATTATGGAATGATAAAATACATATAAAAGGAAAAATAACCATATTAATGAACCTACGGGTCTGTTGTCTTTAGTCCAGCTGATAGTTGGTGTTGGGATGCCAAAAGCGTCACACCCCAGTGTGAGGGGCTGCTTCAGTGTCACTGTCAAATTCAGAAGCTGCCCATCATCCTGGATCTCTGGAGGAACTGGATTTAAAAAGACACACACACACACACACACACACACACACACATATATATATATATATATATTGTTTCGCATAATTAATTCATTCTCTGACTGTAAAGTGCTTGCATAATTAATTTGCCATGTAATTAAGCGATGAAAAGCTGAAAATGAAAATAAATGAAAATAAATCAGCAGAAAAATGCTCCTAACTCCTATATATAACAGATACGTTGAATACTTATCATTATGACACAAAAAATCTGTACACATTACACACAAATTATTTTTTTAGAAACAGAGTTTTATAATATATAATTGTTCAAAATTTAAAAATCTGTATGACAAGATTTATTGAGATGAGAGTGTTGAAAATGTCAAGTCATTGTAGATGATTTGATCAAATTCCCATAGCAAGATTTTTGATATACAGTATGGACTACAATAAAAAAAGGTAAATATAAATGTAAGATGATCATTTTTTTTTGAAGTAAAAAGTATGACAAATTATAATGTAATAAGTAAATAAATCTGTATCAAACATACTGTTTTAATTTTTTTGACCAGTATATCACTTAATTTAATTATAATACAGAAAATTACATAATATTATCTATATTTAAGTAGTTTTAATGAAATATAATAAATAATTATTTTAATGATATAAAAATTACAAACAACAACATTTTATATATATTTTTCCTCTTTATTAAATTTGTATTTAATATTTCTCCCTAGCATATTCATTTGGGTGTACTAATTTTTGGACTGTGATCCAAGAAAAAGAAAAATGTAAATGAATGAATAAATAAATAAATAAATAAATAAATAAATAAATAAATAAATAAATAAATAAATAAAAAGACAGACAGACAGACAGACAGACAGACAAATAGATAGATAGATAGATAGATAGATAGATAGATAGATAGATAGATAGATAGATAGATAGATAGATAGATAGATAGATAGATAGATAGATAGATAGATAGATAGATAGATAGATAGATAGATAGATAGATAGATAGATAGATAGATAGATAGATAGATAGATAGATAAAAATATATAAATAAATAAATAAATAATTATAGATATTAAACTTTTTTTTATTATTTATTAAAAAATCTATGGACCACTTGGAAATGGCAGCAAGAGTCTCACCATTGACCTTTAGCCTGGTCTTCCTCTCCACTGACCCTGCTTCATTAGTGGCCACGCACTTGAAGTCTCCACTGTGACTGGCTGAAGCTGAGCCAATCACCAGGGCTCCATCTTCAGCCAGAGACACGCCATGCTCCGATCGCTCCATATGGACCTCCAGGCCATTTTTGAACCATCGCACCTGAGGAGCAGGAGACCCTAGCCAGGGAACAACAACAAAAGCACAAAATAAAGTAGAGACAGAGCAAACAGTAAGTGTGAAAGAGAAAACATAGATTAAAGCTTAAAGAATACACAACTCGCCAAAGCTTTAAGAAAGGCCAGAAATGTATCCATCCAAAGCCAGGCAACAGAGAGAAGAAACAAAGAGGATGCCAGTAAATGTCTCTCCTCAGAAGCGGATCAGTTGGTGTGCTGTCAAACAGTTCTTCAAGGTGAAACACCCAGAGTGAAGATGCCAGACACAGTATATCAGAGCTGAACTGATCAAGCGTAAGAACACTAGATTTACAGCTCAAAGACAAAAGTCTAGAGACTTCAGGACAGCAGTGAGGGGAGTAGTTCAAACACACCAATGAGGTCTTAAATCTGCCCGAGACCCCTTTAACAGATGTGTGGTGAACTTTACTGGGTCAGCTTAAAGTGACGGGGCAGGGGGTGACCTTGTACTTGTTTTACAGTCAACTTTTAAACCTTCTCAAAGCCCATTTAGGCAGAAATGACATACTTAACAGTGTTTATTTGTGTTGGGTTTCATGCAGAGTGCTAGATGAAGCTTCCATGTAGAGTCCATTTAGAGGAGGAAGGAGTATAAGTAGAGGAACAAAGCGACTACCCTGTAAAAGAACGTGGCTGCCTTAATTTTTTTAAGTTGAATAACTTTTTTACCGTACATCAGTCAAAATGACTACAAATTACAATTACTACAATACGGTAAACTGCGCATAACTAAAACATTTAGTTGAAACCGGATTAACTTATTACAATTTTAAAGTAACATGAAAACATTTGTTGTCATGACTTTTTGTCATTCCTTTTTTTTCAGCATATGTATTAAAGCAACATATTTTGAACATTAAAGGGATAATTTACCCATAAAACTTACCCTTATGTCAAACCTGTATGATAACATTTAACAGTGGAACTACCAGAATTCTATTATAAGAATTACCATAAACATTTCGCATGAAATGTCATATTGTCACATGATATTTACTTTTTAAGCTTTTATTGAGATATTAAAATTTAGCTTTGAATGTCTGTCGTCAAATTTTATAAAATCATTGCCATAAAAATACAGTATTTTTGGTAATACAGCCTATAAATGTATACGAGTTACTAGACCACGGCTTAGGCATGGCTTTTTTTTTCCGCACTGAAAATGTTTTAAAAGACGTGTCTGAAGTTATGTTTTTGCTATCAGAAAGCTATGTTTTTAGCAGGAAGTTGCTAGGCAACAGAGGCATGTATATTCAGTCACAGGGAAAATTAGCAGACTAAAATGTAGTAAAAAAGGCAAAACGGTTGGTGCCAATAGCCTAGTGGTTAAGTGCCGTTACATAGCAATATGGTGCTCAGTTAAATTCTTGGCTCGGGGTCCTTTGCCAACCCTTCCCCTCTTTCTGCTCCAAATACTTTCCTGTCAGTAACCTCCACTTTCTTATCCAAGTTAAAGGTGGAAGACCCCTAAAAAAATAATTTAAAAAAACAGTAATTTGCATAAATTGTTGCTATAATGCACAACATTGAGATGCTCAATCACTGCCTTCCGTTTTCAATTATGTTACAGGTGCAGCAGACCCGTCAATGTTCCATAGGCCAATAGATTTAATTTGCTCCAGCCCTTTAAGTAGCCTATAGTGTGAAAAGACATCCCTAAAATTCATTTAATTCAGTTAAACAATAGGCCCTGTCACCAAATGTCGCATGTCTGTTCCATGAGCTGCAGCCTTGACAACATGATGATAGTTCAGAACTTTTCTTAATTACTTTTTTTTGTTATCATCTGTTTATGTTTTCTGTTTTTGTCTTTCTTTAGTTTATTTCTTTATTTACATTGAACGAACCACTGTTTACACATGTGAGTCATCTTTCCCACACATGAATGCCATAACAACACAAGTAATTGCGCATTTAAAGAAACATCTAATGTGGAAAAACGAATGTTGTTTTCAGAAATGATTGATTGTAAAGTTAATTAATAATAATCTAATTAATAATATGTCAAGCGTTCATGGACTAAATCTAGACTAAAATCCCAGGACTTTACTTGATTCAGAACAAAAAAATTACAACTATAACTAAATGGGCTTTTTGTCAAAAGACTGAGACTATAAATACATCAAAATGTGATTTCAAAATTAACATAGGTGTAGATAATAGTTTTTTATTTTTTTGCTTTTTTTACATTGCCAACGGCTGGCTTTCGATGCATGACACTGCTTCAAAAAAATACAAATAAAAATATTTCAGTTTTACTATATTGTTTTTGTGTAAAAATACCCTTTCTTCTATTGATACAATGAAGGAATTGCAGTCCAACTATACTAAGATTCATTGCCAAAAGATGACAACCAGATGTTTTAGAAGAAAAGGCTGGATTATGGTTTAAAATATAAGTATTTAATTTCAGTTTACACAGATGACCAACGCTACAATTTTTTTCAAAATACAAACACTTACTGTCTCTCACTTCAAGATTCTGTTGTTTAAATGATTACAAGCAGCTTTGCAAAAACTACAAGTTACTACTAGCTTAATAAAGTCCTAATCAGCTGTTTATTAATAGTTAGTAAGGTAGAAGTTGGGTTTAGGTTTTGGGTTGGATTAGTGATGCAGAATAAGATCATACTTTATGACTAATGAACAGCTAATTTTTTAATAATAGACAGGCAATAAGCCAGTAGTTCTTAGCGTGAATTGTGACCTAAAGTGTAAAATTCTTGTTTTAGTGTTATTTAGAAATAATTATGTTACCATAGATATAAAAGTGATGCCAAGATGACAGTTATATGTATACGATTATACAGGTACTTATGGTTAGTTATAAATGATCTCAAGTGGCTATGACAACAGAGGTGGGTCTATAGCATCTATGTTAGCATGTTCGCTAGAAGAGTTTGTATCCAGCTTGGTGTGGGGCAAAAACCGAAGAGTGATGGTATTGAGGTTTACAGGGGTTAATGTTCTGGAGACCAGCGAGTAGAAGCTGTTCAAGTAAATCTCCTTCCCTTGGCTCCAAGTGGCATGCTAGCAACTGATGCTAGAGGCTGTGGTCTTAGCGTTCTTGTTAGCATGCCCAGCTCTCATACCAGAGACGCCAGTTCAAATCTCACTCGCAGAGAGATGAGTAGAACCAGAGATGATACAGACACAAGTATTGACATCAACATGACGTTACTTGCGGATGTTTTGTGATAGTTTGAAAGTCCAGTAAATGACTCTATAACCATGTTTAGCTTTATTAAAGGAAGACAAACATGATTTTGGCAACATTTTTTTTTTTTTTTTATTTATTGCAGCTCTTTGGAAATGAAATGTCCAGTAAGTGGTGCTAACAGAATTATTTATCATAACTGAATATAACAGCACCTACACGGTATAAATCTGTTTATATATGTCTGCATATATCTGTTGACCATTTGACTTTTGACAATGAAAATTCAACTTTACAGTTTAACAAAGTGAGTTGTATGGACATTTTTAGCAGTTTGTAAAAATGAGAGGAATAAGTCTGTAAAATACCAAAAAAAAAAAATGTACTGGCAGCTTATTACAAGGTTTTTGTACCACAATATACAACACCAACCCAAACAATATATCATTTTAAACTAATAAAAATGTTAATAAAATATCTTTTTTTTTTTCAATTTCTTCAAGGGTAAAAGTTGTTGGAAGAAAGATTAAGGTCTCGTAATGCAATTAAAAAGCATAAATAATTTAAAAATGGGAATCACAAAATACGGAAAACTCCTAATTTACAGATTTTTTTTTACAGTGTACATTAAACTAAATTAATGAGTAAACAAAAGCAAATGTGAGAAAAAATAAAACTCTAAGACATATTTTTTAGTTAGGTTGTACATGTCTTTTTATATTGTACCAAGTTAACTACTCAGTAACTATAAGTTGCATGACATTAGCATCAAAATCTATTTATTTACAAATCACACAACATATGGTAAAAAGTTTTTGAGGTCAAAATTATTCAACCACTCCAAAATAGGTTTATATTCATCGATAACCTTCACCAGCAATCATAAAAGCTGCTACTTAAAATCAAGTTAGCATGTTTTGACATGTAAACATACTTTTAGTCTTTATTTTCGTACAAGCATTTCCCAGAGTATTTCCATTCAAAAGTGAGTTTTATGATATCTTTATAACAAGGGATATAATACTTGATATAACATTTTATTACATAGTTTAAAGACATTCATACATTTTTAAGTATGCCTTAAGTCAAGTATTTTTTAGGGAACGCTGTATACAACAAATCTGTTATTTTTTAATATTTTTTTTATTATTATTTTTTTGGACGTGTAGTGAAGAGAACTCCCAGAGCAGATGTTTACAGTCATAATGTTTGGATTGATTGTTTTTGTGACTTAAAGAATGATGTGCAGCTGGTCTAGTTTACATTACAGGATAACATTAGAAGCCGTTTATTTGTCATAAATCCCTCGAACAATACTTCAAATGATTGTCATGTTGTAAAAAAGAGGCTTGTGAGCATTCCTTGGGTGGGGTCATGCCTTTCAGTGGGAGCCATTTGAAACAGATCAGTATGAAAAGGACAAACTTCCTCACTCCTACACCTTTTGGCACATTTTGAATGTCTTATCTAACACACCTCTAAGATTGTGAAATCGTGTTATAATTAAACTTTATACAGTGTCTGCACGGGTTTGTGTGTGCCACTAAAAAATAAAAACGAAATATTTAATAAAGCATAATGAATGTAAAAATATTGACTGAACTTTAAATGCATTATTATAAAAAACACACAGATGGATTCAAATTATAGTTCAAAGCTAGATTAATATTTGTTGCTTATTTACTTGCCCCCAGGCCTTCCAAGATGTACAGAATGTGACATTTTCCTTCAGACATAATATACTTAATTTACAGCTCTGGGTATAAATATTTAGCTAAAAATGTATGATGGCCTGAGATTGATTAACAGCTATTTTTCATTG